GACCTTAAAGCTCCTCCAGCTCCAACCCCTGCCACGGGCAGGGACACCTTCCACTAGAGCAGCTTGCTCCAAGCCCCTGTGTCCAACCTGGCCTTGAACACTGCCAGGGATGGGGCAGCCACAGCTTCTCTGGGCACCCTGTGCCAGCGCCTCAGCACCCTCACAGGGAAGAGCTTCTGCCCAAGAGCTCATCTCAGTCTCCCCTCTGGCAGGTTAAAGCCATTCTCTCTGGCAGTTTAAGAGCATCAGTTATATCCAGTTATTGCAGCACTATTCCTCAGCTTCTGTGTGATGCCATTAGCACCCAAAGCAGATGTAACTGCTATTTACTGGTGTGAACTGGCTCCTCTGAAGCTCAGCTGCTCTCCAGGCTCCAGAGCAACAAGGGCACAGTGGACACCCCAACCTTGCAGGGGTGCAGAGCTGTCCTGGGTGCACCACACACTCCCCATCCATCACAGGGCATGGAGCACCCCCACCACGTTATTCCGAGGTCCTCAGCACAGCTGGAGATCTTCAAATGCTCTTTGTCATTGTGGGTTGGTTTGGTGCTAACTGGGAGCCAGGAGCTGCACTGCACACCAGGAGCTGCACTGCACACCAGCAGCTGCACTGCACACCAGGAGCTGCACTGCACACCAGGAGCTGCACTGCACACCAGGAGCTGCACTGCACACCAGCAGCAAGGGCACAAGGCAATGTGAAAGTGAGAAAGGACAAGTCATTTCAAATCCAATAATGAGAAACCAACATCAGTAGGAAAAGAGCTAAAAATGAGGATGACTGAAGACACACCGAGATTTGGCCTCATCAGGGTGCTCAGGGCTTACCTGGGGAGGAGGACTTGGTCTCATTCTGCTCTGCAGTTCCTCCATGGGGTGGGGAATGGCATTGGAGGGTCAGGGCACAGAGATGGACCACAGGATGCTCCCCGACATGGATGCACTCTCCTAGCTCTGTACCTCAAGGCACCATCCTCAGCAGGAGGGTGGCTGCAAAACCTACATGGAGCAGGGAAAAGCCTGGCTGCTTCTCCCCAACCTGGGCTCATGCTCAGCTGTCCCAGTGTTCAACCCTCTTAAGCCAGGCATTGCTTCTGTACAACTGCCACTCTCTTTTCAGCAAGAAAAAGCCTTCCCTTAACCCACCTCTGTGCAGTCCATGCCTCAGGAGCTGGGTGCAGGCGCACAAGGTGGCCCAGGACCTGCAGGGATTGAGGAGGCTTTGGAGGGAGCCTTTCTGAGGAGGAAGGAAACGATTCACCCTCTCACACCAAACAGCAGGGAGGCAAACCTGCAAGAGGGGCCCAGGCCCACCCTGTGCTCACCTTCTCCAGGCAAGCAGCAGGTAACACTGGGTCAAGGGACTCCACCTCCCACCCCAGCCAGGTCCCTTTTGGTTCATCCTCCATCTCAGCAAAGCTCTCTCTGTGTCTCCTTGTAGCCTCCTCCAGCAACGCCCTCCTTGCTCCGGGGGCCCCGAACGAGCCGCATCCCTCCAACCAACCCCGAAGCTGGAGGGAGGCGGGCAGCATCCCCCCGCTCGGTGCTGCCAGCGTGCAGTTGGCTGCCTCCACCACCAGAGCCCAGCTCCACCACCAGAGCCCACTGCTGCTCCACCACCGGCTCTGCGGTCCTGCGGGCAGAGACACCGAGCACCGAACCCCAACGAGAGGGGCTGGGACCGCCCTCACCCCAGTGCAGAGGTCCCGGTGCGGGTCTCAGCGCTGCAGGGAGGCTCAGCTCCCCTCATCCCCACTTGATGCACCCCTCAATTCCAGGCAACCCTGCAGCATCGGGAGCATCCTGCAACACCAGCTGCATCCCTGCTGAACGCCCCGGGGAGCTGTGTGCCTCTGCAGGGGTTATGTAGGCGCTGCCCTGCAGCAGGTGAACACCCTGATTAGAGCCTTCATTGCTGCTGCTTTTAGAAGCTTCCAAAAGCAGCAAATCGGGCTTTGAGGAAAGCAACTACCTGCGAAGTCTGTGCCAGCCCCATCTCGCTGTGCTCCAGCACTCCCCTGTGCAGAGGGTGTGATAAGAAGGGTTATTGTTGCTCTGAGCTCATACGAGAAAGATTATTGTTAAGGAGAGGAAGCAAGTTACAAGTGAAATAAATTGGGATGAGCTCAGTTTGAATAGACAGTAACACTGTTATGGGAATTTGCATACACAGCCTCTGCCACTCCAGGGCCTGAATGTCTTCTCTGACAGCTGCAAAGAGCAATCCTATAAGCAGAGAGCAGCAGAGCTGGCCAAATGTGAGAGAGGAGAATCTGTAACAATGATGGGGTTTTGTGTAGGAGAAAGCAATGAGCAGAGTTGAGGAGTAACCTTTGGTGTTCCTCTGGACGAGAAAGCTGCAAACGACTGGCACTTGCTTATAACAGCAAGTTTGCACATGAAATACATGGAAAAATTCCTAAGGCCAGGACTTCAATATGAGATACATCCAGAAAAGGTCACATAGAAGGAGAGAAGCTGTGGCTGCCCCATCCCTGGCAGTGCTCAAGGCCAGGTTGGACACAGGGGCTTGGAGCAAGCTGCTCTAGTGGAAGGGGTTGGAGCTGGAGGAGCTTTAAGATCCCTTCCAACCCAAACCATTCTATGAAGAAGGGGGTGCTGACAGCTCCTGGACTGGGCTGGACGGTTCAGATCTGGGGAAACTGGAGCCCCATCAGCACCACATTCACTGCCACCTTTATTTGCTTTCAGTTTGACACCCTGGAGCCCCTGCGCGCTGGCAAAGAGCTCTGCACCCGTGGGGTTTCCTCAGCTCCCTCTCTGTGCAAGTGATAGATCTAGGGCACAGCACGCTGCAACATAAATCAGACTATTATGAGTCCCCAGCGGCTGCAAATCAATGAGTTCTGGTGATAATCACCCATTTTATCTTTCTCATTATTAATATTTAGACATTTTTAATCTCTCCTTTGCAAACACAATGTTTCCCCGCTGTGCTTGTCCTTCAGCCGCTCTGCAAGCTCCTGCTTCTGCAAGCAAAGGCTTTGCCTCGAACCAACCTGCTCCCAGATCTGAAACGCCACAAGCACAAGGGCTGGGCGATGACTCCATCAGTTCCCTGATGGGTGACACCACGTCAGGGCGCAGGCAGTGTCCCCGGGACACGGTGCGGCCAGGCTGGGTACCACAGTGCAGAGTGGGAGCTGGTTCCTTAAGCTCTTGGAGTGAGCCCCCACGCTTGCCGTGAGGGAGCAGCTGGGACATCACAACCGGGATTATCACACGGAGCTGTGTGGCGCGGTCACACACTGGATGGGATCCAGAGGGACCTGGACAGGCTGCAGAGGGGGGACCCTGCGAACCTCATGGAGTTCAACAGGGCCAAGTGCAAGGTCCTGCACATGGCTCAGGGCAATCCCAGGCACGAACAGAGGCTGGGGGTAACTGGATGGAGCAGCCCTGAGGAGAAGGACTTGGGGGTCTTGGTCAATGAGAAGCTCCCCATGACCCGGCTTCACTGAGTGCTTGAGCCCAGAACCCCCCCAGTGTGCTGGGCTACACCCCCATAGGGTGAGCAGCAGTCGAGGGAGGGGATCCTGCCCCTCTGCTGGGCTCTGGGGAGACCCCCCCTGCAGTCCTGTAGGGATAGGAATGAGCTTCAAGCAACCTGCTCTAGTGGAAGGTGTCCATGCCTATGGCAGGGGGCTGGAACTGGATGAGCCCTTCAACCCAAACTGGTCTGGGATTCTATGGAGCTACAGGTGTCATTTAGAGATGCCCCTGGAAGGTGTTCAGCTCTTCAGATGGTGCTCGCTAATCAGGGAGGCACACGTTAAAAGATAAGCCCTCTGTTACCACACAGGGGGAGGCAGGGATTTCCAATGGAAATGACACACCTTATTTCCCCTGCCAGAGGCGTGGAAAAGCTGGTAATGCACTGTCAGCTCCGGAAAACAAAAGGGGAAAAAGCAGAACACTCCCTCAGAATTAAAATAAATTAAGTTTATTGTAGAGACCAGAATTTCCCAACAAGCCCAACTACTACTTGGCTTTAAAACAAGTGAGAGGAAGGAGGCTGGAGCAGCTGCTGTGTCAGAAATACCTCCAGTGTTCAGAGGAACAGGTAAATGACCTCATTTCTCATCCAGCAGCACACAGAGGGATCTGTGCCAGGGATGCAGCTTAGGACAACGTGGGTCTGCCTTTTCTGGCCAGGCCAGCCCCGCCATCGCTCCCTCCTCAGATGGGATGTGCCCTGCTGCTTCCAACACTGGATCCAGTCACCAGGTCCCTGCTTCCCTTGGCACAGGGACAGCACACAGAGAAGGGGACAATGAAGGTGACCACAGTGAAGATGAGCTCAGGTCTCCCCATCGCTGCCATTGAGCACAGATGCTGCAGGCTCTGCCCAGAGATGCACCTTCCTCTACCAGTGCCAACGCCTCCAGATGTTCAGCCAGCTGCAAGGGGTGCCCAATGTGCCATCACCACCTCTCTTGCTTATCCTATGTTTCTTCTTCTCTCACCTGCTTCCACGGGGGACCAGACACATTGTCCTCTGCTGCTGGCTCCTCTGTGGAAACACCATCATGGGTTCAGGAGCTGCCTCCTCTCCTCTGGCTGTTTGCAGGAGGGAGGACAGTGTTTCACCCCTCCAACAGAGGGAGAGGGGCTGTGGCAGGGAGGAAAAGAGGGGCTGGAGGCCTTCCTATGCTGTAGAAACAGCATAATGAGGACACTGTGCATGTGGAAACACCTTTAAGCTGGAAAACAATTCCAAGGTGATGCAACTTCCAGCTCCTGCCAAGGGGATGAGCACAGGCCCAGAGCTCCCCAGCTGGACAAGGACCAAGAGCTCTCCCGGCCACTCCCAGACAGCGTGGGACAGGTAAAACCAGGGCGAGAAAAACCAGATGCTAATGCTGTCCCAAGTAGGCTGAGCCAGCCCCGGAGCCTGGGCTGGGGACAGCAGCACCCCAAGGCTGGACTTGTGGGGGCTGATGATGAGTCAGCACAGTGACATCAACCCCCCCACTGAACCTGCTGGGGGAGAGACACAGTCCTGGGGAGCAGGAACCGGTGAGTCTCGGGCTAAGCCAACATCCCAGTCACTGCTCATCCCGTGGGACACGGTCCCCCCAGCCCTCCCCAGGTGGCCCATCACAGGTACGTGATCTCGATGACATTGGGCTCTGCGCTCCCGCAGGTGAGGTGGTGCTTGCAGGAGCACTGGCAGCTCACACCGGCCAGGTCCCACGGGCAGGGCTGGGCAGGCAGCTTCTTCTGGGAGCCCAGCTTCCTCCAGTCCGTGAGGTGCACGCCGTTGTCCATGTCCTGCGGCATGGGCTCGTGGTACAGGGTGATCTGCACGGTGCGGAGGTGCGGGCCATAGTGCACCACGACGATGATGAAGACGGCCAAGAGCACGAAGATGAGGACGATCACCGAGATCATGGGCAGGGCATCGGACTTCTTCGTCACGCTCCTGACGATGGTGATGGGGGTGAAGGCGGCCACGTCCTGGGGCTCAGGCTGCCTCAGCTGGCTGCTGGGAGCGGAGGTGTTCATGGCTGAGCAGGCTGACCTGGGGCAGGGAAACACGGGGTGGAAACGGGGTGACCACTGAGCAGAGGCCGGCTGATGTCCTGGTGTCCTGCCCTCGAGTCGGCAGCTCCCTCCTGCACCTGCAGCTGCCAGGGAATGGGGTGGCGCTGTAAGTGTCTGTGGGATGGGATCAGTTTATCTGGGGTTGTAGGACGCTGCCCTGGACACACTCAGCTGAGGGTGATGCTCTGCATCCCCTCAACCTGGACACCTTCAGTGGGGGGCTCTTCCTTCTCCACGACCTCACAGACTCATAGAATAAACCAGGTTGGAAAAACCTTTAAGATCATCGAGTCCAACCATTCCCCCAGCACTCAAAACTCCACCACTAAACCATGTCACTAAGGGCCTCATGGACATGGTTTTTCACCCTCCCCTCTTCGCCCCCAGCCCCACAGTGCTCATCCAAACCCAAACCTCACAGGAACCCAACCCCACCAAAACACCCCTGCCACAGCCACAGAACCCCATGGGAGCCAGCACGGGTAGGGGGGGAAGCAGGGAGGCAGAGCCCTCCCCAGCCCCGCAGTGGTACCTCGGTGTCCCTGCTGCGTGGGAATCATCATCTCCCGCGGGGCGCTGAGGGCAGCCGAGCCTCCGGATGCCTCAGGGCTAGGTAGGAACAGACTCACCTCGGAAGCTGCCACGTCACGCCTGGGCCCCGCACCCCCCGGGAGTCCCCGGTGCAGAGGAGGAAGCAGCGGCTCATCCCAAGGGTGCTCCGGGTCACTGCCACCCAGCCCGGTGCCACATCAGCGCCGCGCCCCCTCCCACGGCGCAGCACGCACCCACGGCTGGAAAACCCTTCCTCTCCCGCGCCGAGACAAGGGCCCTTTGTGCGGGCTGAAAGGCCCCGCCGCCGCAGGAAACCTCCCTCCTTCCACGTGTGAGAGGTGGGGTGGTTCAGAACCCACGGCACCCTCCCGGGTGAGCTCTGCACAGCCCCACGGAGCACCCACACAGGGCTCGGGGCTGCAAGGACGCTCACCCCGAGGGATGGGGCGGCTCCAGGGTTGATTCTTTCTGCCTGGGGATCCTGCTGCTGTGGAAGGACCATGCCAGTAGCAGGGTGAGCCCACGGTGCAGCTCTGGACACTGGGACCTGCTCAGGGTCACAGGCAGGAGCCAGTGCCAAGGCAGCGCTCACACGTCTCTCCCCGCACACAAGCTTGCAGGGATGCCTTCACGCGTGGCAGCAACTATCCCTGCATGCAAGTAGGTACCATCCCTCTGGTCCAGGGATACTGTGCCTGGTCCAGGTCCTCCACCACCTGAAGTGACCCTGAGCACATCTCAGAGCAGAAAAGCTGGATCCTTGGGTGTTTCAACCACTACAAAACACGTCTCCCCATCTTTTCATCCCCAAACAACACTGCTCTTACCTGGAGGCTCTCAGCAGACAAGCTGGGGTGAATATATGGGCTTTGTCTTCCCTGCACATGGAGAGGATGGAGTGGGAAATGCCTCTTCCCCCATCCAGCCCGGCATCCAGAAGAGATTTGCCCATACGTTAGAGCTTCTGGGAATCTGCACTCATTTCAGGATTCAGTAAAACCTTAATCTACAGCATAATCTCTGAGCATCACATCTGTGCCAGGGAGACAGAAAATGATGGGGGAGGCTGCTGACAGAGGTTTTGTAAAGGCAAAACTGCTGTGGGATGCTGCCTGCTTTTGGCCTGATGGTTTGCTTGTGGGTTTGGAGGTGTTTGAGGAGACCCACTGAAATACAAGGTGCTGCACAGGACACAGATCTCTCCCTTCACTCCTGCTGCATTCTCCCAGCCATGGAAAGCAAAGACATTGCCAGCAGCATATATCACCCCTCTGATGTGCTGCATGCTGTAAAGGAGCAGCTCCATCGCCCTCAGCTGAGGCTCTGCAGCTTTCCAAGGGCTGGACCAGCCCCTCGAGCCAGGAGACAGAGTGCTGTGGATTTGCATCCTCAACACCTGCACAGATCCTCCAAGCCAGGTGGACACAGGCACCTTTCCCACATGGGGACACCAAGACCCTTCTCCTCCCCCCAGACATCCATTTACATCTAACCCAGGGCAAACTTGTTTACCTCTGAAGTTCAACCTATGCCAGCATGGGATAAATGGGATGTGCACAGCAAGGTTGGGGATAAGAAACCAAATGCCCCAAATCCCTTAGGCTGGATGGGGGGCAGAAATGGCCCAGTTTCCCACTTTCGCCTCTTGGCAAGGAACAGGGATTAGGATAAGCCAAAGTGCTGTGCGCTGCATGTCTTGTAGGGAAGGATGCTGCTGACACTTGAAAAGCAGCATCCCAGAGCCAGCATTGCAAACCCAGCATCCAGGTGCCCAGACTCACTGGAGCTGCAGAGGGAGGTACAGGCATGGGGCATCAAACAAAGCATCTCCCAAAAACCCCAATCACCATAAGGCAGCTGCCAAGGCCCAAGGCAGGGCAGACCCACTGTGCCACTGTTCTCCCCCACTACCAGAGCTGAATCCCCCCACCAACTGATGGCGAGGTTTCCTTTGCATCGGCAAGCGATGTCTCACATCCTCTCCGACCATAATGGGCTAGAAAACACAGTTCCCCTGTGGATTCAGCCCGTTTCCTTCTATTCTTTAACAGGAAGCTCTGTGAGAGTCAGCCCAGGCAGGCAAATCGCTCCTCACCCTCTTGTTCCTCCCGGGATGGACAGAGCCTCAGCAGGGCTGCACAGCCACAAGCCACAGAGAAGATGCTGGCTCCATCCGTCCATCCGCTCCTCTGGCTGTTTGGCTGCATGCTCTTCCGAGGTGAGGTGCTCCTCAGGGGCTGGATGGGTGGATTTGGGGTGCCCGGCTTCATGGGGGGCATCAAAGGGAACTGCCAGAGGTTTGAACATGTAGTAGCTGCCATGGGAAAGCTCAGCCTTTAGATTCAGGGGTGGCAGGGGTCAGGTTGATGGGAAAAGTGTGGCTGTAGCAGGGGTACAGGGTTTATTTGGAAGCACTGGAATGAAATAACTTGTACCCTGCTTAACAAAAGGAGTGTTTCTGCTGTGCTTTGTGATGCTGAGGCATTTTGTTATACGTGACTTTACTCTTATTTGACAAAAGTTACAACATTTAAACATAGAGGATGTTGTTTTCTCCAATAATCTTTTATCCTTGACCCATTTTAATTTTTCCTCTCATCAATATGAATACAAAAACCACCTGCAGGACTCACACAGACCATACCTCGTCCTTACTGTAATAACCTGCTCCTTTGCAGGACTCACACAGACCATACCTCGTCCTTACTGTAATAACCTGCTCCTTTGTGATAACTGTGCTTTAAGTTCTCTTTCCCACGTGAGTCGTGGTTTGGGATGACGGAATGGGTTTCCTGCTCTGAAGGGTGACAGGTTGTTTTTTCCTGCATCATCAGGCACCTCTTGCTTTGCTGACAGCTGTAGTAGCTGGGAGCTGAAACACATTCAAAGGCATAGAGGCTGAAACAGCATCACTGATTCTAATAGACAAGCACTTAACAAATAACGTGTCTCCAATCCAAAGTTTTTATCATTAAACCATACAAGTTGCCTATGGATTACAGCTGCTGTGCTGGTAATAATGGCAGCTTTAAAAGGCAGAGAATGTAGAAACCAATTCAGTCAGTAGCTGTGTAATACTGAGCAGTAACAGCACATGGATTGGAAAATTCCTCCCTTCATTAGAGAGCAATACTGCTGGCTTCAGCAGAGGGGTGAACTGTGCCTGGTATGAGACAAAGGGCTTCAAGGCCCCTTGGCCGTACTGTGACACTCCTTAATGCCTGCCTTAAATGCTATTTTTCCTCTTGAAGCTAATTGGGATGGTTGGTCTGGGGCAGGAATGCCCAGGGGTGGTCAGGCACCTTCTCTGCATCAGGCTGAGATCCAGCGCCCTGCCAGTGCAGGACCCTGGCTGCTGCAGCATCAGGTGGAAGGGATGCCATCCTCCATCCTCAGTCCTGAGGGCATCACTTTGTCCTCTGCACTCTGCTTGAACCCCTGGGGCAGAGGCTGTTCTCACCAAGTGTGTGCCTGGCAGCCAGTGCTGGACCCCAACAGGGTCCTACAGATGATAACACAGTGCTGGTGCTCACTGTGCATCCATTGATGCTGTGGTTGCACCTCTCTGGCTTCAATCACAACCACCATCCTTCCCCCCTCCCCATCATGTATGCTGTCTCACTTGGTTTTTTGCATTGATCCAACAGTTCTGAAATGGCTTTTTTAATTGTATGTGTAATTTTATATCAAAGGCACTAAGGGGGTGTAGTACTTGGGGGGAAAGCTTCTATGCAAGACAAGGATTAGCAAAGGGGGCAGAGGCAGGGCCAGGGATACCACTGGTTCCCTGACACATAGGCAGCTGGAGAAGGGAATGAAGGACCTCAGGAGAGCTCAGTGGTTGCCCTGCACCCAAGCAGAGTGCAGGGAGAGACAGAATTTGCTTTGGCTGGAAAATAATACCTGCCTGTTCCCACACAGACCTTGTTGCTGTTGTTGTTGTTAGGGGTTTCTTGTCTTAATTTTGTTCATTAATTTATTAATGAATTTATTAGCACTTCATTTCAACTTCTAAGCTCACAGTTATTTCCAAAGGAAGGTTCAAACACTGCTCCTGTGAAATGGCCCAAGTGGGAAGGTTTGCAACATTCCTAACCTGGTTTCCCTCCCCCACAAACACTCAACAGTAATTTTGTCCAAACAAACCTCTTCCTATGAATCGTTTCCATTACAATGGGCAGGCGTTTTCCAGACAAAAGAATTCCACTGAAAAATTCCTTCTCCAAGCTGATGAGAACCCAGCAGGATTTTCCCACTGCTCTCCTTACTGGCTGTGCTATAGCCAGTGAATGGATAATGCCACGAGAAGCACAGCGTATCAAAACCATGTATGCATTCCAATATATATATTTGATCTAATCAAAATGGGGTGCAGCTAGAGGACAGACCTTCAGCTATCAGAAGAGCTTCCAGATAGAGTACTCCCATCCTTCAACCAGGGCATCCAGTGCATCCTGAAGCCGATTCCTTGGCCAAAGGAGAGGCCAACGCAACCCTGACGTGGTGAACAAGGAAGGGAAAGCAGGAGGTGGTTAGGCAAAATGTTTGTTCACAAAACAAACTGCGCCCTTCTAGTAACACAAAACGCCACAGATGACGCTGCAAACCTGACTGAAGCAGCCGGGGATGGTTTCCAGGAATTATGTCCCATTTACAATACATGAGTCAACACCAGCTGTCCTTGGAGGGGATGGTGCTGGTAACCCAATATCAGGAATGCCAGGAACTGCTGGCAAAACCAAGGTGTGGGCTTAAGCCCAAGGCTGGAAAAGGGAGATCTTTACCCTGTGTAGTACCTCAGCTAGGTAACCTCATTACTCCACTTAGGAGAGGAGCCCACTCTGCACAACCAAATCACCACAACAAGAAGGAACCCCTCTTTCAGGCTTTCTCATATTTCTGGGTTTTGGGGTGCTGGTTCTGCCTTTCAGCTGCATCATCCTAGCAGAGCAGAAAAGATCAAAATCCCCTCTTGGCTGAGGTGCTATTGGAGATATGAAAGGCTCCAGGAGACTTTGCCCCTAATGCCGGTAGCTCATGAAAATGCTTCAAACCTGAAAACACCAGGGATGTGGTTCAATGGCTCTGCATTACTAGCAGGTGGATTTCACAGCTTAGGGAGAAACTTCTTACCCATTGCTGGTAAGAAACCAGTGCCTTGGAACCCAGTACCTGAGATTCAGGGTTTGCTGGTCTCAGGCACAGAGATGCTGTGGGCACTGGAGCCAGGCTGAGAAAGCTGGGCCGGTTCAGCCTGGAGAAGGCACCATAACTGGAGACCTTAGAGCAGCTCCAGTGCCTAAGGCACAGGAAACCTGGAGAGGGGCTTTGGACAAGGGCCTGTAGGGACAGGACAGGGGGAATGGCTTTAACCTGCCAGAGGGGAGACTGAGATGAGCTCTTAGGCAGAAGCTCTTCCCTGTGAGGGTGCTGAGGCGCTGGCACAGGGTGCCCAGAGAAGCTGTGGCTGCCCCATCCCTGGCAGTGTTCAAGGCCAGGTTGGACACAGGGGCTTGAAGCAAGCTGCTCTAGTGGAAGGTGTCCCTGCCTGTGGCAGGGCTTGGAACTGGGTGAGCTTTAAGGTCCCTTCCAACACAAACCAGTCTGGGATTCTATGGAGTGATTTCCTCCTCTGAAACTCCAGACTCAGTGTCAAACCCAAGGAGCAGCATAGGCAGAAGGGCAGGACCCACATCACGAGCACTAGAAAGAGCAGCAGCAAACCCAGAACTCTAAACCAAGCAGGTTATAGAGGAAACTGGAACCATGAAGTAGCTGGGAGGGTGAAGCAGCTTGGTAGAACCAGTGTTTCCTCTCCAAACACCACAGAGCAGTGATGGTGCAGCCAGGAGAAAAGCCACGCTGCCTTGCTCTTCCATAAGCAACCACTTTTAATGGAGAAACCAGACCTCACCACACATGGTATGTTGGCAGAACCCACTCCATACACACAGTTCCTCACACTGTTTGTATCCTGGCTTGTTTTCTACATTCAAGTGGTTTTTAATTGACTTCCTCTAAGACCTGCTTCCAGCAGAGCTCACCAGAGAGGAGCACAGAGCATGATGCTCCCAGAGGATGCTCAGGCCTGGGCACTGCCCTTGAGGAGGAACACAGGAAAGCTGAGATTGATTTTAATTGCTGATGAGATCCGGGTTTCATTCCTGGCTCTTTAAACTTTCCATAACACCTTGGCCAAGTCATTACAATTCAGAACCACTTGGCAGCAAGCTCCCAACCCCCCTGTGTTACTTGGGAATTAGACTCTTAAACACCTCTGTGGATCTGGGACCTGATTGCAGCTGTCAGTTATCCTGCGGCATTACAACACTTCTCCTCTCTCCCTCACAGTTCCCACCTTATCTGCTGCACAACCCTTGAGGCAGAGGCAGCTTTTTTAGGCACTTCATAAAATGGGACCTAGGCTTCTACAGAGCTCTCTGCTTTCCAGGTTTCCTAATACAGGGTTCTTTTTTCCCCGTGAAAGCCCTAAGAATTGGGTGTTGCTCTTCTCTGCTGCTTCCACAGCTGCTGTGTTTCACCCAGGAAACAGCTGCCCCTGCTTTAAGCAGTTGGTGCGTTTCTGTCATGGGTCATTTGACAGAAGTGAGTTGAAAAGTCTGATTTTAGGCTGCTGGGTCTCTTTTCTGAAAGCATATGTCCACACAACCTGCAAGCAGAGGTTGTACAGCTCCCGCCCATGCCATGTAGAACATCTCCACAGCTCCTCCCAGCCCTGCCAGGGAGCACAAGAGCAATGCAAGTCCAGGATTACACATCATTGAGGCAGATAGTTCCTATCCATCACCAGCTCTGAGAGGACAGGACCAGTCCCAGGCCCTGCACCTTCATGCTCATGCCAGAGATGCCCCCTGCAGCTCCATCCCTCTATGAGCACAGAATGGACAGCACAAGCCTCCCAAAGCTGGACCCAAACCTTGCTGAAGCATTCCCAAGAGCTGGCCCAGGTCTCTGCTACAGCAGTGCTGTTACAGAGGCTCTGACAATGTTTGGGGTTTAAATGTCAGTTCCTCTCTTTGGCCTGCAGCTGGAGAAACGTCTATGATTGCCAAGAATAATACTATAGCAGAAATGTGTAAAATTCACCTTTCTATTGGTTTACATCATTCTCTTTTTGTGCTGAGGAGCAAGCGGGGTGAGCTCTGGGAACATCACTGTGAGAGAAGGCCTCATGGAAAGGCCTCTCTGCGCTAACACTCACATCTGATCTCGTGGAACTACTACAAGTAACAGAAATCCAACATTCCCCTGCTCATCCTATGGAAAAAATAACCCAAAAGCAGCTAGCACCAAGTGGGAGCTGAAATGCACCTGCAGCTCTGATGCACTCCTGTGTAGCCCTGTGGATAATCATAGAATAACAGAATCATGGAATAGTTAGGGTTGGAAAGGACCTTAAGATCATCCAGTTCCAACCCTCCTGCCATGGGTAGGGACACCTCACACTAAACCAGGCTCTGTCCAACCTGGCCTTGAACACTGCCAGGGATGGAGCATTCACAGCTTGCCTGGGCAACCCATTCCAGTGCCTCACCACCCTCACAGTAAAGAACTTCTTCCTTATATCCAATCTAAACCGCCCCCGTTTAAGTTATAACCTGTTACCCCTTGTCCTGTCACTACAGTCCCTAATGAACAGTCCCTCCCCAGCATCCCTATAGGCCCCCTTCAGATACTGGAAGGCTGCTCTGAGGTCTCCACGCAGCCTTCTCTTCTCCAGGCTGAACAGCCCCAACTTTCTCAGCCTGTCTCCATACAAGAGGTGCTCCAGTCCCCTGATCATCCTCGTGGCCTCCTCTGGACTTGTTCCAACAGTTCCATGTCCTTTTTATGTTGAGGACACCAGAACTGCACACAATGCTCCAGGTGAGGTCTCACAAGAGCAGAATAGAGGGGCAGGATCACCTCCTTCGACCTGCTGGTCACGCTCCTTTTGATGCAGCCCAGGATACGGTTGGCTTTCTGGGCTGCAAGCGCACACTGAAGCCGGCTCATGTTCATTTTCTCATCAACCAACACCCCCAAGTCCTTCTCCTCAGGGCTGCTCTGAATCTCTTCTCTGCCCAACCTGTAGCTGTGCCTGGGATTGCTCCGACCCAGGTGTCGGACCTTGCACTTGGCATGGTTAAACCTCATGAGGTTGGCATCAGCCCAGCTCACAAGCGTGTCAAGGTCCCTCTGGATGGCATTCCTTCCCTCCAGGGTATCAACTGAACCACACAGCTTGGTGTCATCGGCAAACTTGCTGAGGGCTCACTCAATCCCACTGCCCATGTCACCAACAAAGACGTTGAACAAGACCAGTCCCAATAATCAGGAGCTTCCCATTCCAGCAAGAGCAGAAAGCTGTGCTTCCCATCATAAGTCCCTCTGCAAACTCCCCGTCTCCACCTAGAACTGCACGACCCAGCTATAAATCACTTGCACCCAAACAAGCAACAAATATCTTGGCCATGCTTATGCTCAATGGCAAATCCTTTGAATGGCTTTGATGTTTATTGCAATTCCAGCTGCGCTGGCTGCATCCCGGTTATTATTGTTAGCTGTTTATACAGCCAGGGCCCGCCGTGGACGGGAGCAGGGGCTGTGCTGGCAGCAGCACTGGGAGGAAATGGTTTCCAGCCCCGTTTGCACGAGAGTCCCCAGGGATGCCTGCAGGGAGCCGTGACGCGTGGCATTGTTGGTACCCATCCTGCTGCCCAGCCCCACGACACGGCTTGTGTCTCTTCCTGCTTTGCACATGTATACCGCCCTCCCATGTTATTCCACCAGGATGCTAAGCACCCTCACCAAAAGAAAACACCTAATAGAATAGAGCTTTTGATTATTTGAGTTGGCAAGGCAGGCATAACAAGCAGCAGTGGCCAGAAGTCAGAGCCAGACCTGCTCCACTTTGAAATAACAGTGGTTGTGATTAGAGAAGCCAGGGCCATTTATTCCCAAGTAAAGTGTCAAAAGGGGGATCTCTTTGATCCATCTCTAGGATTCCATCCCTTGGCCTCTTCACAGCAAAGTTCAAATGTGGCAAACAATGGTGAGTACATACTTGGCCAGGTGAACCTCAAGAACTGATCATAGAATCACAGAATAGTTAGAGTTGGAAAGGATCTTAAGATCAGCTAGTTCAGAAATCCTGCTTTTACATCTTATTCACAATAACCCCCAGGTTTAGTTTTGCAAAGGGAGAACTCCCATGAGCCAGTACTCTGGTGTGAGCTGCAGTGAAGGGCTGAGCTGCGGAGGAAGAAAGTGTTGAGCATGAGCCTCTTCCTTTAGCCCTAGCACCAGGAATACTGGAGCTAGCCCATGGGATAGCCCCACCAGGGATGGCCATACAGGACAATGTCATGTTCCTTGCCCTCACCTTCTTCCCATCCCTAGAGGCTCTGTTCAAGCTCCCAGATTTCTCCTCAACTGCACCAAAAATAGGGGAATAAGCAGGCAGCCCAGCATCTTTATTCGTTTTTTCCTTTGACAAAGCCTAAGTGTAGACAATAGCCCTTTCTTGAGCAATTCTGGATGCTTTTATGTGCCATGTACACTAAAAAAAATCACCTGTGATCATTTCAAGAAGAAAATGTGTTACAAGCAGCTACTTCTCATGGGAAAACAAGACAATGGCTTCTGCAAGAGAATTTAGAAGAAAGAGGAGCTGTTGGAGTTTGGCAGCTGCTAGAGGATATTGGCTCCCATGATGATCTCAGCATGTTATGTTTTGTGCTGAATGTATAGAGTATCCTATGGCATTTGGAAACCAACATCCAGAAATTGAGTTTTAATGCTAGTTAAGAAGAGGAAGCCCAGTGACAAAGAGAAAACTTGGCAAACTCTCAGCATCAATGGAAACACCCCAAGTCATCACATGCTGGGCACTGGGGAGGCAGCAGTGCCCAACAGCCTCCCAGGCAACAGGGATGCATCCCCCTCCCTCAAAAAGAGCTTCTCTACCTCTTTAAGAAGGGCAACTGTGTGCCCTGAAAGATCTTTTTCTCCATTATATTAGTTGATTTAGTAAGTGAGGTTACATCTACCCATAAACCTGTCTATGTTACTGAAGTGATGCTCATTAACGCGTTCTTCAAACCCTGTGGAGAAGGATATCCTACAATTCTCCTACACAATCACTCCCAGCAATTCACTATCTTTACATTAAGGCAGTTTCCTATTGCCCAGCCTCCCTTTTCCTTGATGCAGTTAAAAGTCCTTGTTTTCTGGGCCTGTTCCAAATGGATTTAGAAAACAAATCAGTCCCTTCCTTTCTCTGTAATTAAAGATTTGATCACGCCTTGTCTCTCATCAACTAAACTAGACAGTTCTGCCTGGCTAGTAAGCCAGAAAAGAAAAGTATGGGAACGATCTGAAAAGTCAGGTCTGGTTTTCACAGCCAAATCCTATCTGGAAAGAGACCATGTTTTATAATGTATTCACTGGTGTTTACACACTGTTTTGGTTCCTGTTTGGCTGGGATCATTGTCATAAAGCCTCAGACAAAAAAACAATTACAGCTCCAATGCACTTAGATGAGAAGAATGAGATCAATCTGGAGCTCACTACACCCAGACAGTCCCAAGGGGTGAGCTCTGAGCCAAGCCCTGATAACCAAACATATGCTGGATGCTGAAGATCTCATCCCAGATACACACCACTGCCAGGGCAGTCAAATGACCTCTTTCAGACACCTACAGCACAGTGACCTACCACAAAGTTCCTCACCCACACTGGCTCCTGGTAAGAAATGGGATGTTGCAGGTGGTGAGGCACTGGCACAGGCTGCCCAGAGAGGTTGTGGATGCCCCATCCCTGGCTCATGGGGGGCAAATGACCCCACTGATTTAATATGGCCTTGCATTTCCCCTGTAGCAGAAGATGACATCTCCTTGAAGGGTCCTGCTCTATCTGGGGAGGAGGGCATTTATCCTGGCTGAATAAACTCCACTCCTAACTTATTCAGAACCTTGCAATTTTGCACTCAGTATTCGCTGCTGCTTCTTTGCTAATGCTTTTGGGGAAATCACGTATTTTAAAGTCAATACTACAGAAGGTGAGGAAAACCCAAACCATACAACCAGAAAGAACACCAGTGCATTAGTGACAGTCACAGATTAGCTCTGCTAAAACTCTTATTCTTTCATTGCAGGTACTACAGCCTCCACAGAGTCCTCTGTCCAAGCTGTTACAGGTACCTCCTGGGTTGTGATCTGCTTATATGTCTATTTGGATGTGGGGATGCAAATAGAGCACCCTTACATAGGAACTCCCACCCACTGAAGGACATTCTCCAAGGACCCTGCATTGCCCACCTCTGCCTGCCCCACTTAACCATTCACCACCCCCAGGTCTCCAGGGGCCATGGAAGCCACCACGTCCATTTCTTAGCAGTTAACACACTCTCCTCCATGGATCCCCAGAGCCAAGGTCCCTTTATCCACATGTCTCTATAGCCACACCAGTGACAAACCCTCTCCTTCCCATCTGTTTCCTTCACCTTTTCAGCTGTCACTGTCTACAACAGCCCCTTTCCGGCCCATCCTTCAGCCCTCCCCATGGGGAACCCACTAACAAGGAGCATGCATAGGAGAAGTCACCTCCATGTCTCTCTGCTTGTGTTACAGGTCAATCCCAATCAACAACTGACAGTCCTGAAGTAAAGAACCATACCTCAGGTAATACTCACCTGGAGACCTCAGAATGTGGCTCAGGGGCATCCTGGCTTGCAACTGTTCTGACCTTCAGCCTAGCTGGGCCATCCAGCAATAGATGGGGCTGTGCAGCAGCAGGTTAGATGAGGACAGTGGTGGGGAAGAAGGAAATTTAGTGATATAAGGGCTTCTGACCCAGCCAGCTCACCCTAGAGGGACCAAGGTACAGGTGTAAGAACAGGGGAAAAAAATCCCTAAATTGAACAGGGAGAAGCAGAGTCATTAGGTTAACACTGCCTTAGCTCTAACTTGCAGAATCATCATAGAATCCCAGACTGGTTTGGGTTGGAAGGGACCTTAAAGCTCACCCAGTTCCAACCCCTGCCACGGGCAGGGACACCTTCCACTAGAGCAGCTTGCTCCAAGCCCCTGTGTCCAACCTGGCCTTGAACACTGCCAGGGATGGGGCAGCCACAGCTTCTCTGGGCACCCTGTGCCAGCGCCTCAGCACCCTCACAGGGAAAACAGAACAAAAACAAACATGCACACCCCACCCCCCAAAAAAAAACCCCTTAAAACCATTTTTACTCTTTTCACATTTTTATCAGAAAGCCAAGAAAAGTCTAGATGGGATTTCCCTGTAAATTCCAAGCTGGTGATCCACTCTTCCTTGCAAAGGGCTTACTGAAAGCCTCCCCCCACCCCGCATCTTGCTCTGGATCATGTTCATGCTATGGAGCTTCAAGTAGCAGGTTGAGGAAGATGGCAGAGCTTCCAGAGCTGAATTATCTGTGCTTAAGAAACTCGCCATGAAACAAAACACAGGAGTTAGTACTTCAGATAACAAGCAAGCAAATACATCAGGACCCCACAGCCAGATAAAGTGTCCAGTGATAAAAACACCTGCATCTTCTAAGCAGGAAAAAAACAGTGGCAAAATAGAGACTTTCTCCACATGCCTCCTGAGCTCTGTGAGCTCAACATCTCCATATACTAAAAAAGCAAAAGCTAATGCCAAAGCACAAGAGCTCCCTGACTCTGAGCAGGACAAAGGCTATTTCCTTCTCTACGCAAGGAAATCTGCCCATGCTTTCCTAGCAATTACCCATAGCTCCCAAGGAGCTTGAGGACTCTTTGCAATAGCCATGCCCCACTCCAAGCTGTTTCTGAACAGAACTTGAGGTGAGCAGAACCCTTTGAAGTAACACTACACTTCCTCTACAGAGCCTTCAGTAAAATCAACACCACCAACTGACTTGAATCTCACCTCTGTGGGTCCAACTACTACAGCCAAGTCCTCTTCCTTCACAACAACACTGCTAACATTGACTGTGCAAGGTAAGCATGGAAAGCTCTAAATTTTGCTCAGGTAGAACCTGTTTGTGTACCCTCTTTATCCAAGCAAAACTGGAGGCATCAGAAAGACTGGGCTACTCCATGATATGCTACTTATTCAGTAGCAGCAATTTTGAATCTGAGTCTTTGCTAAAAGAGCTCACTCCAGCTCCCTAGAACCACGGGGCTGGACAGAAGTGTTACCTAGACGTGGCAGCTACTCAGCAAGCTCATATCAGAAGAGCCAGATCATGCTTTACCAGGTAATAGTTTGTGGAGGAGCTACAGGCTCCCCAGCAGACCTCTCCCAAGCTCACCTCCCACATACACTCTCCAAAGTAACTGCACAGCTTGCTAGCTGGACATCTTGACACTAGTTTGGAGGGGAAGCCTCATGCAGACAAAGCTTTTTTCACTCTATAGAAACCAAACAGCTTTCCACAGCACGATCAGTAGCAGCTTCAAGAGTTAATTCTCCTTTTCCCATGTTTTCTTCACCCAGATGAAAAGCCTACTGGAAGCACAAGCACAGCAACTTCACCATCTCAAGGTACTTTGTCCTTTTATAGAGTAACAATAAGTTTAGATCATTTCATGGCAAGTAACTTACCTGGTTCACGTGGTGCAGGTTACCTCAGCACTAGTCTAGCTTGGGGTTGAGCAATCAGTAACACCCAAAATCATGTCTGGTATCCCTACAAGCAGTGATCAAACAGAGGACCAAGTGCACTTAACATCTTTCACCTGGGATGAACTTGAACAGTTGAAAGACTGATCTATGCTTAGAAAAGGGAGCCCCTTTAACATCCTTCTAAAAAGAATATTTCTGCTTTTGACATTTTGCTTAACCCAACCTGTAAGCAAAAAAAGACCAACAACTTGAGCATTCAGTGAGAGCTTTCTCAGAATAAGAGCAGAACCCAAGGGAGGGGAAGACTGGAATCTGCCAACTGAGCTGATTCCCCATTAAAGATTCAGCCTAAAAAAAACCCTGCAGTGGTCAAGACAAAGTGTTCTGCCCCTCCAAGCCCCTCTCAGATCTTCTCCAGCGCAAGCAAGGTTAAAAACCTGTGGTCAGCTCTGCCTGCACAGATGTCCAACCAGCATGCCTGTGCCCAGCCAAGCCAAGAGCCCCTTGCAGCAGAGCAGATTGCTATTAATTATAACCCTGCTTTACACCTGAGAAGCTCCATACATCTTTGACTATACAGATGCTTCCAAAAGTGAGATCTCCTGTTGTGTGAGACCCACCATTTCCCAGGGATGGGGTATCCACGTCAGACTCAGCAAACCACAGCTTCTGCCCATCACCTGTGGTTTCCAGAATGAAACACAGAGTTTGATGAGTGGTGAAAAAACCATACAGCAGCAGCCCCTGCTTCTCAGGGCTGTTCTGCTCCACGTGGTTTCTGAGCCAGTTAGATGTGTCACTGCATACCCTTTCCCCTTTACACAGCACTTCCCCTTTTCCTTCTGACTTTTGGCAAAGCTGCATTCCAAAACAGTGAGGTTTTGTGCAAGCCAGGAACCCCAGTTCAGCTGCACACCGTGCCTGGTGCAGCGCCAGGAGCTGCTTCACACTTCTCCAGGCATCGCATACTTTTGGCCAATGCTGCTGTTGAGAAATGGGGACAGAAAAGGAGGAAAGATCCTATCTGACCTACAGATGATCTTCTGAAACATTCAAGTATCATTTTTAGTCTCCTGACAGGGCCTGTAGCTGTTGAATAAGGTCCATGCAGACAATCTGGCAGTTCCACACACATCCAGAAGGCAACAAGGACTTTCTTTTCTCTCTGTAGAAGTGAGACACACAGGCTAGCTTTACATTTGCTTGCAGAGGCACTGGAAGCAGCTGGCACAACCCAAACAGCCTCATATTAGCCAGTTTATCCCACTGAGAACTGGAGTCCTTGCTCAAACCGACCTCTACACTGTCACAGATGGTGTAACTCAAACTAGCTTCATTACTTCTAGGTCACACAGGACAGCATATCCACTAATTCCAAGTGAAAGGGCAAGCTGAACAGTCAATTCACGCCCATATTCTGCAGAATTTCTTCCCCAAAATCTCAGTGTTCATGAGCAATAGCAGATCTATAACCTTCCCAATTCACTCTCTCAGTGTTCAGTTGCTCTCTCTGCCCCAAAACTGCATCAGGGGCCACAGAACCTGATGAGTTAATACAAGGGTATTTGAATTTTGGTTCCCTGAGTTTCTATTTGGACATGGAAAATAGTACAAAGTATTTTTGGTGGGAAGGTTGTAGCCTGATTATAAACTCCACATATTCTCAGATATTGCCAGCATTACCATGAATCCATTCTCCTCTCCAGCATGCCCATTAATTCTTTTGGTTATGAGATGATGCTCAAGGACAAGACTCACATTCCGTGTTTCTCTATGCAGGTCAAGAGCCCATGAGAAGCAAGAGTACCACAGCATCAGTAACTCCAGGTGCTTCCTCCACTCTCTCACAGGGAGGTAATTACCACTAGATATTTTATAGCCCTTTACATAGCCAACAGCAAGCCCATCATACTATCTTCAGGGCAGCATGTTGAACAGCCAGCAAGTACCCGAGGGATGCTCTCCATCCCATTTAGCCCTTGAAAAACCTGCAAAGCTCCACAGAAGCAGCACTTCAGGGCAACCTGTTGAGCCTGGGAGCAGTGGTTGTGATTTACATCAGGAAAGGTGCCCTATGGCAAAAGGTTGTAACAGGAGGGAGATGGGATAAACTCTCCACACAAACACATAGAATCATAGAATGGTTTCATGCTCAGGTTCCTGAAGGGGGCTGGAACTAGCTGACCTTTGAAGATCTCTTCCAACCAGTGGTACTTCATGATTCCTCACTGGGGACCCTGCAGAAAACCCTGCGGAGGTTCTCAGTTTGTTCACAAAAGGCAGCCTGACTCCTACCCAGGTCTTGGTCACTTTGCTGTTAACATGGATGCGGCTGGTCAGGATCCATCATTATTCTCTTCAAGCGTGAGTTAGGTCCTCTAGCACTGCTAGGAATCCTCTTCCTAACCATGAAGAAAGCCTTTTACATAAAGCTTCCTTTTTCCCTCTCTTGCAGGCACCTCAAATCCAGTCACCCCAACACCAATGTCCTCCGGCTACCTGCCTGTGCCCACTCCAACAGATGATAAATCCCCACTGACAGTGGCAGCTTTCGGTAAGGTCTTGTGCAACCTGAGGAGAGGAGAGGGGTCTCTTTCACTTGGACACCCATCTTCAAAGATGCTTCCCTCAAGATAACTCCACAGTTATGCCTGATCCTGGAGTTTTCAGGGTACAACCATCAAGAAACACTTGTCACCAGCAGGCAATAAAGCACCTAATAAATAACAGTCATGTCCAGTATACAAGGGACAGACAACTTGGAAGTCCATCACAGCTACACCCGAGTTTGAGATCTTGCTCTCAGCACCAGCGTTTGCCCCAGCTCCCTGTTAGGGCAAGACCTGGGCACAAATCATCCTATATGCCTTGGTTCCCCTGGTAGGGTCTAGAATAAATACAGTACCTGCCTGGAAGCTTAGCCATATTATTTTTACCCTTCATTCCCATCCCGCCTTCCTGCTTTCCCTTGTGTATCTGCACCCTGCTTGGCAGGAAGCAGTCGAATCTTCCACATGCTTCAGATTATTGAAGGATGGAACAAGAGATGCCATACCTTAACCTGGCACTACATTTGAAGACAGGCACAGAGTAGATTTAAGAGACCCATTCTGTCTTGGCCTATACTGTCCCCCTTCTCCATGAAGATGAGCAAAAAAAGCCAATTTACTCATTTATATCATACTAAAGGAAAAAAATTGTTATTTCAGAAGCATTTTAATAGTCAAGTGTTGACTTCAGAAGTATCATTTGCTTGTATCTTCTAAGGGAAGCCACGGGAAGTCCTAAAGCAATCTTAACAGTGCAAGATTCACGTGCAAAGATGAGTTTGATTTATTGAGGCCCGACATCAGAATCAGATCTGGACTTAAACACTGGTTTATTAGACAAATAACATCACTCACAGTCTTTAGCTTGTCTCTCGCTATTACATTACATATTTATCTGACTTTATACACCTTTAGGATAAGATTTACCAACTGTAGTAGGGATATATTGACTCCAGTCAATCCCCAGTGCAATCAGCTGACTTCTGCCCTCCTGGCACTGCCTTACCAATTCAGTAATCAGAAGCCCTTTGAGGCTATAACACAAGAGGATAAAGCCATTTGCTGTAGTGACTATTTACTTCTCTATTAACTACCATTGCTCATTTTAATAGCAACACTGATTCCCTACCCAAGTTTTGAAGACAAAGTCTCTCTGCTATTCAGAAGCCAAGGACAGGCACGTTGTGATATCAATCACCAACAGTCCTTTCTGCATCCCCAGGTGTCATCAGCTTCATCGTTATCCTGATAGTGGTTGTGATCATTCTGGTCAGCGTGGTCAGCCTGAGATTCAAGTGTAACCGCTCAAAGGACTCAGAAGGTATTTACCTGGGCTGATCTGTCTTTCCCTAATCAAAAAGTCATCAGTTTTCATGTGGATTTGGCAATTCCTAAAAGATGCTTTTAAAAAGCTTACACAGTGCTGAGGTTTTGAAGCCAAACTGGAACACAGATTCAGCAGTTAGGAATGTGGTGTGACCACCTCTTTAGAGTCCCAGCCCAGGCCCATCTGCACAAGTGAACAGCCTGAAGTTTGCTGCAGTTAAATGTGCAGATTTGCAAAGGTGAACAGCTCTTCCAGCTAAAATCACGGAGTTTCACACTCCTTTTTCCCTAGGAATTCTATTTCCCACTAAGCAGTGCCCACTAGAGGGCAAGGCTGCTCCACAGCAAGGCTAATAACTGCCAAAGACCAAAGGATCCTAGAGACTTGACTGTACAGGCAGCAAAGCTTTCAATCCTGCCCATGTGTCACATTAGTTGAAGAATTCTCTCTAACCAACTCTCAAGTACCCCCCACGGTGTCTTTAATCTCATTTGGATTTCGTTTATAACCCCGTACAACGTGATTCGGTATAACTGACTTACTTTACTGCTTAGCTGCGATGTTTTCTCACCTGTCCATCACCAACTGCTTTTCTCCCTCCAGACAAACAGAAACCAGGAACCTCCATGGTATCAGAGAGGTAAGGCTGCTCACACTAGTCATATTCTATTGAAAGTGCCAATTTTATTCTAGACCTACTTTTAGCACAGAAAAGTGTCCGCTTTGGTTATTTCGTGTGGAAAGCAGCATTTCAAGACATCTTTGAAAGAGGTAAAAACCCCCAAAATCAGCTTTGATAGCACCTCATCCTATGCCTGATGGAATCCAAGGTAGAAGTTCAAGATTTAGGGGGCTCATTTCAAAGCTGCACTGTTACCTGTGAAGACTCGGCACCTTCCAAAAGCAGTTTGCTTGTCTTTCTTCACCTAGATACAGACTTAAAGTCTAAAGTTGGGTTTCTGGATCTTAAAGTGAGATGAAATCAGGTCCCCAAAAATATCTTCCAAGACACCTATTACTGTTATCTACTAAGTACAGAGGCTTTTGAAAGAGAGATATCAAGTGGAGGACAGTCCATCTGAACCCCATGGTCCATCCCTGCTACCAAAGAAGAGGCTACATGTGAGAAAGGAGCAGGAAACAAGAGCTGGAAGGGATTAAAACATGTTGCTCCTACTTTTCCAACTGACTGTTTCCTATCAAAGTCATAAATTCTGCTCTGGCAAGAGGCAAGGGACACAAGGAGCAAAGTCCTGAAGTATTTAGGTGCCAAATCTGCATCAACAGTTTCCAAATACCCTTAATGACTGCAATCTAAGTGATCTGAGGCCACTGAGGCAGCATATGTCAGAGAGCTATGCTCCCAAGGGCACCCTAATCCCCAGAGTCATCCAGTCTCCACTGCACTAAATGCATATTCCAGCCCTCAAGGTAGGTAAAAAAGGAGAATTTTTACCTTCCTGACACTTGTGACTTGTAAAGAGAGACACTGCAATCCATGAGCAGCAGCAGATATGAAAATACCCAGGGCTCCCCTTGAATGACAAATAAACCCAAGGGTGTAGGACAGAAGGACACGGTGATGTTTCCTTTTGTTCCAGTTCTGGTAATAGCTGAGTCACTGACTACCAGATCCAAATGGCTGAACTGATTCTGCTTACAAGCAGTGACACAGGTGACAACAGCGCTTCCTGTAGGGCAAGCCAGCACCACATCCAGATTTGCCTCGATGCACTGCCTGTTACCCCAGAGATCTCCAAACCTGTGTTCAGATGGGGATGGGAAATCTGGCACTAAGGACAGGCCTGAATCAGGACAGCAGCTCAAAAGGAAGGGCAAGTCACCCCTGGCCCCATGCACTAGGCCTGCTTGCCTCCAGCTGGGCACAAAGAAGCTTCCCCCCTCATTTTCCAGAGTGGTTAATGCTGCCTTCTCTTCTTGACAGCTGCTCAGCAGGCACAAGCCAGAAGAATAACAGCATCACCCTGATCTCCATGAAGAACATCAACATGAACAACAGCATGAGTTACCCACCATCAGAAAAGGTTTCCCTTCTAAGCCTTGCTTTTTAGAGAGTTATCTGGGGATTATTTCTCTTGCTAGATAAGAACATGCCCTTGAGGTATTTCTTTGTTCTCTTATTCCTTCAGAAGGATAGTAAAACCCAGCTACCATCAAACTCCTGAAGGTCCAAACTGGTTCTAGTGAGCGGTGAAAAGTCTGGGTATCTATTCCAGGTCTATTCAAGCTGTCTGAACTCAAGGCATCAAGTATATCTCATGTATATAGGCGCCATCCCCTAGGGCCAGCCACTAAAGGCAGAGGGATCTGCCATTAAATGAAGAGGTAACTAAGCTAGCCTTTGAGAAATCAAGGTCTCACCCTCTAGTCCAAGCTGACCCACTCTTTCCCCACAGGAGATGCTGAAGCACAGCCCCACCTGTACCCTCAGACTCATTCCGCACAAGTAATTCACAGCATTTTCAGTCATTTTAAAGCTGGGATGGAGTTTGAGAGAACAAACTGCTTAACTTCTTTTGCCAGCCAAAAAGGCTGCTGATGCACTGTATTTTGCTCTTTTTGTAGGTGCTATGAAGCCAAGAGCCCAGAGCTTGAAGCTGACACAACCAGTGATGACTTTCCACGTTCTTTTTATTATGTTTTTAGGGTTTTTTTATCTTTAGGGAAGTGCAAGAGTGGACTTATATATAAATTATTATGTCCTTTCTGATCAATACATGTACAGTAGCATCCCACATAGCTTCCCCACCTGGGGTCTAAGGGCTTTCTCCAGTTACAGCCTGCCACGCTCAGTGGTTGATATCTATTTTTTTATAAGCCTTCAACACTCAGATTATTCGAGCAGCAAGAACCACCAAGGCACCATCTACTTCACCAATAAACTGCTGCCTTAGATTAATGGCCTCTGTAGTCTGTGCAAGCCAGTCACAAGCTTCTCAATCAGTCCAGCCCCACATTCAGTCAAACCCCTGCACTAGAATAGCATGATCTGAAGCTGGACGCCTAATGGGACTTAAATGACCAAGTGCTGTGTCAAATTCCAGCACAACTGCTCCAAGCCCCTTATCCTCAGTACCCTCATCATCCCCACAGTGGTGGGGATGACCACATCCACCTAACTCACATGCTTGTTGTGAGACTATGTTAATCTATGTCTGTAAAGCATTTGGAGAGCCACGAATTAAAGGTGCTGCTGAAATGCAAATTGCCATCTGAAATACTTGATTATTAATAACTGAGCTGCAGGCAGGCAGATTGCTATCTGCCCACAGGTTCAACATGCTCAAAGAAGACTTAACAGTGAAGAACAAAGTCTCTGCATAGACAAGGTTTTATCTGAGTGTAAAAAGGAGTGGCTGCAAGCAAAATGCTGAGCTACCTCAGCCCCTGAACTTTGGTAGCTCATGTTTTTTGGGAGAGCTTCCACCTTCTATACCACTGCCCTCCCAGAGCTTCCTGCTAGAGCAGAAAAGCAACACCCCCTTCCACAGCACCAAGAGCCATTAGTGCACCCCCAAATCACTATGATCACAAGAACAGTCCTCTGTCAGGCTCCACAGTGCAAGAGCCTGTATTTGGAGCCAGCTGGTTCACAACCTGAGCTGGCTCAGACCCAGCTGCCAACTACTCACCACCTACAGCAAAATACTTACAAGCTCAGCGAGGAGGATGATAGAAACATCAATACCCAACCTCCACACAGCCGCAAGAGAAACGTGCTGTCAGGTATTTCTGGAGGTCTCGGCTGCCTTACTGAGCAGCATAACATACCAGAGCACTAATTCTACAAGTACGTTTGCTTCTGCCCATTTTCACCATGAGTCCTGCTTGCAAGCTTCACCTTCATCACCTACACAGTACTTCATCTTCCTGGCAGCAGCACGCTAAGATACTGCCTTCTCATAGAATCCCAGACTGGTTTGTGTTGGAAGGGACCTTAAAGCTCATCCAGTCCCAACCCCCGCCACAGGCAGGGACACCTTCCACTAGAGCAGCTTGCTCCAAGCCCCTGTGTCCAACCCGGCCTTGAACACTGCCAGGGATGGGGCAGCCACAGCTTCTCTGGGCACCCTGTGCCAGCGCCTCAGCACCCTCACAGGGAAGAGCTTCTGCCTAAGAGCTCATCTCAGTCTCCCCTCTGGCAGGTTAAAGCCATTCCCCTTGGCCTGTCCCTACACACCCCTGTCCAAAGCCCCTCTCCAGGTTTCTTGAAATCTCCAGACCTCTCCTAGCATGAGCAGCAACATCCATCAGCCCTGAAGGTAAATTGTGAAGTCAGGAAAAAAAGACCTAGTCAAGCACTCATAATAGGCCTCACTGCACACACTCCCCCGCACAGCTCAATGGCACATCATAACTTAGCCTGATTTCATTTTATAGGATGGGTAAGGGATGCTCACTGGAACGTGCACTGGTAGAGGTAACAATGCTTTGCAGCTGGCAATGAAGCGTTCAGCAAAATAAACGCAACACATCTACACAACTCCTTCTCAGATCCACCCCGCTTCCTATCTTTAACACATGCACCAGATAACTGATGAGCTATTCTGAAATAAATGAGGCTTTTCTGGTAAAATCCCTGCCCAGTAAGGTGGCATCACTCACCCAGCCGCCCCCAGGCAGGTGAATGTGTTTAAGCCCAAGATCCCAGGAGATTCTGGGTGGATCCAGATAGCTCCAAATACCAGAGACCTGTGACACGGTGCATGGAGCATTAAGAGTAGGTTTTTAGTCCAAGAAGACACCACAAAGGCAGCAGGTGAGTACTTGTAACACCAGACTCGTCACTGAGTATCCAGCTTTAACTAATGTTAAATGTCTGCAGGAGGGCAGACACATCTCCCCAGACCTCTAAAGGCTGCCCTGTTGGGACCCTCCTGCTGCTTTAGTTCTCCTTCCTTTGACCTGCTTCTTCCCATACTAACCTAACCTTCTTTCCACCCACAAATAACTTGCACCTGCTCCATTCTGAAACCAGTTTGCACCCAAAGCCAAGTTCCACAGGAATCAGCACCAGAGGTGACATGATCCCCAACTTCCATTCGCTGCTGCTCACGCGAGGCCTCCTCCGAGCTGCTGTGCTCCCACAAAAGCACACTGGTGCAAGTCAGCAGCTCCCGCACACCACAGCTCCACTCCTTAAGGAGCATTAGCGCTGCTTTAACTGCCCCACGGATGAGGCAACAACCAGCAGCGCACGGATGCAGCTGGAAGGAGCCACAGGACAAGCCCACTGTGGGTTTCCAACCAAAGCTTGGCCAGGAGGCACTGGGGCGCTCCCGTGGGCTCCTTCCAGCCTCAACGCAACAGCTTATGATCATCTACCACAGCCCTGCCAAGGCAGGAAGGCGGCGTTAGCACTGATGCAGGGACAACATTCCCTATGGCCGCTGTCCCTGCGCTGAGCTCTCCCCGGACACACGGCAGCACACAGGCCCGGACCCCCCCCCGCCCGCCATGCCGCCGGTACCCCCGGTCCTGCAGCCCCCACTGCGCCTCCCCTACCCAGAGGCCCCCGCGCGGCCGCCGCCTCCGCGCACAACATGGCGGCGCGGGCGGGCCGGGCCGCCGGGCTGTGAGGGAGGGACGGAGGGGCGGGCGGGCTGCCCCGGGGCCCGCCGCGGCCACCATGACCTACACGGCGGAGCAGCTGGACGGCGTGCGGCGGTGAGGGGGCCGGGGCGGCGGCGGGAGAGCAGCGGGGGACGAGCATGGGGGGGGGGTTGCGGCTGCGGCGGGTCTGTGGGGAGAGGCCGTGAGGTAACCCTGTGTGCGCTTCCAGGATAAAGCGGTGTCGGAACTACTATGAAATCCTGGGGGTGGAGAAGGATGCCAGCGAGGAGGACCTGAAGAGAGCGTACCGCAAACTGGCCCTCAAATTCCACCCTGACAAGAACCGTGCCCCCGGAGCAACGGAGGCGTTCAAAGGTGAGGGCAGGCGGGCCCTGGTCCTGCAGCCGCAGAGCAAGGAGATGAGGGCAGGCCCCCCAGACGTACCCTTGTGCACCTTATATAAAGGCATCATGCAGGCCCACATAGCTTGGTGGTGTCACGGACAGATCTGCCCATCTCCACAAAACCCTGCTGCTGCTCGGCAAGGTTTGCCTTTTAATCCTCAAAATAGAGATTTCTGTTGGAAGCAAATGAAAACATATCCCGAATTTCATTCTTAGATACTGCTAAAGGCGCAGAACAATGCTTGGAAATAGTAGTGGCCGTGCAGGAGAGTGTGGTGTTGTGTAATCAATACCCACTCTGTGTCATAAATAAACCCTTTATATATACACATACATATATACATGCAAGCATTTGAAGTTGGAGTCCGGTGTTCTGTGTCTGGTCTTTTCAGTAACCTCGCAATCTAAACCTGTGTAGACAGCAGCGATGCTATGACAATGTTACAGCATCTAAACTGACATCATGTGCTCTCTGGGAGCTGTGTTGCAGCTGTCTGCACCAGCACTGCAAGGCAGCAGGAAGAAAGTAAGATATCCATTCATAGACTGTTAGAAGGAGTTTCTGAAGGGCTTTTCTTTGTGTTTCTGTGCTAGGGTTGTATTTCTCTATGAACTTGTTTACAGCCATGTTCTGTCAAAGGTCAAGGAAGATGATGAACCGAAGAGGTTGGGATGTTTTGATGTGAAGTGTGACATAGATCTGCCATACACCTTCACTGGAGACAAAAACTTGGAATAGGGTTCTGCATTTTAATTAGCCTCTGGAGTTATTAACTCTGTATTATATGGAAGCGCACTTCTCGATCAGTGCTTAGTTTGATCTGATAGCATGTTACCTCCTCACTCAGGCTCTTGGCTGAAGTGGATTCTCTCACCTCAGTTTTACAAACACTTCAGCTCTCTCCGTACACTTTAACACTCTTGTGTTTCTCCTGATATCAGGGATAGCAGAAAATAAATCCCATCACTGGTAACATCAGTGTTGTAGCACTTTTTTTTACTCTTTTAAAAGTAACTCAATCTTTGGTCAAGCACAAATTTCCCGTGCCCATGTGGGCTTTATTGCTACTCTGCTTATAGAAGTCTGACATCTGAAATACTGCGTGATACAGCTGTGTAACACTTCTTTTCATTCCCTCTCCAGCAATAGGAAATGCTTTTGCAGTTCTGAGCAACCCTGAGAAAAGATTACGATACGATGAATTCGGAAGTGACCAGGAGCATGTCAGCACGTGCCAGCCCAGGCACTACAATTACTACACAGAATTCGAAGCAGACATTACACCAGAAGAAATATTCAATGTGTTTTTTGGTGGGCACTTTCCTACAGGTCAGTATCTGCAGTGTTTTTGACATGCAATGAACTGACACTAGGCCATAAAGGAAGTTCAGCTGCTCTCAGTACATCTGAAAAGGGAAAAAAAACTTTTTGGATATGCTCTTTTCTTCCTTCCTAGGTGTTTGTGCCTGGAAAAGCTCCTTTAATGTACAGTTTAAACTTAAGATTTTAGCAGCTCTGTTTCCCACAAAGTGTTGTCAAAACCCAGGGTTGTTGTGCAGGAATTCTAGCGCAGAGAGCTGCCAACACAGTAAAGGCTGTTGCTGCTGGGGCAAGTCCCAAACCTCCTAGCCTCTCTTGAAATTTGTCAGTACATTAGGGGTAAGAACACTAGTCTGGCAAGAGGTTAGTTAGGCTGTGTAATTCTTCGCTAGGCAGCATTTTAATACCAGCTGTAGCTGTAGACCCTTCTTTTTGTTGTTGCTTTTATTCCCTCCATTGTCAAAAGCCAGCAATAGTATGGGAGGTAAAATAAAGCGTGACTGGGAAAGGATCAGAGGTATCTTTGCTAATGGTGCAATACTCAAGACAACTTTCTGTGTTCCAGTGTGCATGGCAGCAGCTCCTGGTGTGGTGGTCTCAGCACCCCTTTAACTAGGAAAACACAGGAGTTCATCTGGCTTGCAGCAGCTTGTATACTGTAAAGAAATGAAAACCTCTTAGCTGAGAAAGTGATGCCTGCCAGGAAAGGCTGTTACTGGATATGCAGGATCCAGTAGCTGAAGAGTAGATCCATACCTGTAGTAGCTCCGTGCATGTCTCAGTCCAGCCTCAGCTTTTGTATTTGTACTACAAATACAAAAGTACTGGAAAATCAGTGGAATACAGGTTTGGATTAAAGTAAATCTGAAAGGTGTGCTGAGCTCAGGGTCTTCCTGGCAGCAAAGTGCTTTAGCACTCTTGTCAGTTTGCTCACCTTTTAGACTTAAGACGTTACAATGGTTAGAGGCTACAGGCTGAACTTACAAAAAATAAATGCGCATGAAAGGAAAGAAACTGCTGACAGGAATTCTTTGAGAAATGTAGAATTTGGGAAAATGTTTTCTAGGCTCCCTGCAGAAGCCATTCTTCCCCTCCCACACTTGCTTCTGTTTTTTCACAGCTTGGTAGAATACTGTCTGAGCAGGGTTGCATGAGAGAAACAAACTTTTGGTCAAGAAAGACACATTCTTTCTAACACCCCTCCCCGCGGTTGTGTCTCTGTTGGAGCACTGCCTGCAAACGTGCCAGGCCCCTTGGACAAACCTTGGAACAAGCAAGGAAACAGATGTTTTGACACAATAGCAAAAGTCACTTCCGACTGGTTTCTTGCAGAATTCTTGGGGAAATGAAGAGAAAGGACAGTATAAGAGCATAAAATAATGTAACCTCTTTCCCAGGGCTTAAAAATAGATTTGCATTTCTGTTGTTATGGTAAGGTCATGAATTTCCATTCTCTAATACAAAAACATTCTGAAATGCAAAAGGGGAGAGCACAGCCATTATTAAGATATTCATATGGTGATAAAATCAAATTCAAGCTTCAAATCGAAACAGCAGATGCAATTCTTTCCTCATTTTAGAATTCTTATAAATAAATTAACTGCATTCAGTGTGCAAGAAAGGAAATCCTGAATTGTTCTCCTTTGTTACTCAAAAGGCTATTTTTTAAATCTCTTTCCTTAATATAAAATCATTAAGTGAAACTATTAATAGCTTGAAAGAATAATAAGTAGAAAAGAGCATAGAAGACCGTACTGAGTAATTATGGAAAGCCATAATTCATGCCCTGAGCCTGGTGAAGCAAATCACTTTTCCTGCTTACAGCCTGGGGATGCAACACAAGCTACAGACTTGCAAGTGGATATGACCAACCCAGTATTAAAATATGAGATAGAGTAACAAAAAGTGTGGCATGTTTCTGCAGTTTGATTTAAATTAACATGGACTTGGGGCAAACTTTGCAATTTCTCTGGTACACTTTTTGGAGCAACATATTTCTTTCGACATTTAGATCCAAGGTGTGTTTGTGCTTTTTAATCTAAGGTCTCACAGCTCTAATGTAGGCTGGGTAGTATAAGCCTGGATAATCAACTAGAAACTGAGAAGTAGGGCTGAGTACCAGCAACTGAGTAAACATCATGGCTCTCTCTTGGTTTCTGTTAACAGGAAATATCCACATGTTCTCAAATGTAGCCAGAGACACACACTATTATCCACAGAGGCACCGGAATGAAAGAGCATGGACACAGGAGCAAGAGGAGGAGGAAACTAGGCCACAGGTAGCCAGGAGGAGGGATCTCTTGGGTTTAAGTACTTCACCATGGTAGAGGGGTCAACTTACACATCTGAAGCCAGGACGGACCTTCCCATTCCTAAACACTCAGTGTTTGTCTTCCAGCACTGCAGCCAAAATGGATGTTTTCAACAATAACTAGATGGTCTTTAATTCATCACTACTTTAAAAATACATTGAATTGATAGGATTACAGGCCCTGGGATTTCTGTCACTGGTGTTTTGCTGGTGATTGCTTTCTGCAGGCTCTAATGGTTTGGTAATCCAGCAATAATTAGTCCAGATGTGGATAGCTAATGCACACAGAAGTACTGGCTTGTCCTCACTGCATATTTAATTCTTCAGTAAATTAGCTCACAACTTCTGTGCAGGTGCTGCACAGGCTTCGTCCAGCACAGGGCAAGATGAGTCTGGGATACACAGATTGTTTTGTGTTGGAAGAGACCTTAAAGCTCATCCAGCTCCAACCCCTGCCACGGGCAGGGACACCTTCCACTGGAGCAGCTTGCTCCAAGCCGCTGTGTCCAGCCTGGCCTTGAACACTGCCAGGGATGGGGCAGCCACAGCTTCTCTGGGCACCCTGTGCCAGCGCCTCAGCACCCTCACAGGGAAGAGCTTCTGCCTAAGAGCTCATCTCAGTCTCCCCTCTGGCAGGTTAAAGCCATTCCTCTTGTCCTGTCCCTACAGGCCCTTGTCCAAAGCCCCTCTCCAGGTTTCCTGCAGCCCCTTTAGGCACTGGAGCTGCTCTAAGGTCTCCCCTTCAGGAGCCTTCTCTTGTCCAGGCTGCCCCAGCCCAGCTCTCTCAGCCTGGCTCCAGAGCAGAGCTGCTCCAGCCCTCGCAGCATCTCCATGGCCTCCTTTGGACTCTCTCCAACAGCTCCACATCCCTCTTGTGCTGTTGCCCCAGAGCTGGATCAGGACTGCAGGGGGGGTCTCCCCAGAATGCAGCAGAGGGGCAGGATCCCCTCCCTCGACTGCGGCTCACCCTATGGGGGTGCAGCCCAGCACACTGGGGGGGTTCTGGGCTCAAGCGCACACTGAAGCCCGGTCATGGGGAGCTTCTCATTGACCAAGACCCCCAAGTCCTTCTCCTCAGGGCTGCTCCATCCAGTTACCCCCAGCCTCTGTTCGTGCTGGGAATTGCCCCGACCCATGTGCAGGGTCATGTTTACATGGTTCCACCTCTGCAGCCTGCCCAGGTCCCTCTGGATCCTGTCCCTTACCTCCAACGTGTGACTGCACCACACAGCTTGGTGTTGGCAAACTTCAGGCTGCTCAATCCCACTGCCCAGAAAGGACAATCTCAGGACTGACCGCTGGGGCACACCATTCATCACTGTTCTCCACTGCCTCCCAGTGAAACACATAGGGTGTCATTTGTTGCTGGCACACATACACACATGCCACCTGCCTTGCAGACATCTTCCTCCAGAGTCAGCCTTTAAACTAATGAGATCATTCCCCAAGGAAGATTAATTTTTCCCTGTGAGTCTCTTATTGTCAGGCTCTGAAAAATCAGCCCTGATAGAGCCCAAGGACAGCTCCACTAGGGCAAAGGAGTCCACGTACTGCAATGTCAGGTATCTTTGTTGCTATCTCAGGGCAGAGAGCAAAGCCTAAATAGGTGCATGTTATATTTTGCTCCTGATAAGAAAAGGCATTTTAGAAGTTAAGAGCAGAAATAAACGTCTCTTTTTTTTCTCTTTGGTATTTTTTACCACTCTATGTTCAAAATTCATTCAGACAAAACCCCAAGCGCATCCTGACTGAAGTTACACCACATACAGTCTCTTAACCCTTCACTTTTCACCCATGTTATCCATGAAACTGAAATGGGGATTTTTAGAATGCATGTAGCAAACTTCAGAAGATGCCCAGTGGGAATTGCAGGGTGTTCCTTTAGTTTGGATTGTGTTTGGTTACTGTGCTGTGGGCATCTGTGACCTTCTGAAGGGAGCTGTGGATGAAAGACAGGTCATGAAAATATAATTGAAAGCAAATGGCTCGAAAGAGTTTGCTGAGATTCTTAATAAAGGTTATTTTGAAATTAATATGTCATCTCTCAATTCAAAAGCACTTCCTCTTTAGTTTACACTGTTGGTCTGTGATAGATAGCCTGGTTTCTGTGGACAGATGCATCCTTTCCCATCTCTATCTCTTCTTAACTGCTAATTATTGTTGTTGTTTTCAGAATTCATATTCTGCGTTTATTCAGTTGATGCCAGTTTTCATCATCATAATTGTGTCAGTTATAACTCAGCTGATGGCCACAAACCCACCCTACAGCTTGTTCTACAAATCGTAAGTCATTCCAAACCACGTTGTTCTGCTTTTCAGTCTTTGAGATTAAGTGAAGTTGGACTTGAGAGCAAAATGCATGTTAGTGCTGTGTTCTTTCTAGAAAGCACTATCAATTTGTAAATATGGGAACACCAACCATCCCTATGAACAAGTTCTCTTAAGCATTATAGCTGTGAAGTTAGTTCTGGTGAGCTTTATTAACACTGTGTGCTGAAGAAACAGGCGCTGAGCCAGAAAGCTTTCTCAACTGGCCTGAAATGGTTTTGCACAGCGATGCAGTGTCAGGAAGGTGGGTGTAGCTCAGGTACAGTGCTGCTCAGCTGTCATCTGCCTAGCCCCAGGGGTCTGTGGGACCACCACTGGAGTTCCTATGGAGAGCAGTAACAAAATGAAGCATAAATCCAAATGTGTTCTGGAGCTTGAATTCCATGGGAAGAATTGTCAAGCTCCACAAATCATTAAAGCCTTGTAATGGCCAGGTTTAACATCTGTAAGGAAGCAGGTCCCTGGAGTTGCAGAGGCCAAGCTGAACTAGTCAGCTCTGGAAGCAGGCGGACACCACCAGACTGCTGGAATCTGAGGGAGGCAGAGGAAAAAACTTGCTCTTCTCAGCATCCAGTGTTGGGAAGAGGGGAGGAAGCTCTCTGATGAGACAGAGCTCACTTCAGTCACCTTCACCAGCTCTTGCTGCCACAGAAGTAGGGATCCTGTGGGTTTTGGAGAACCTGCTGCACACAGCAGTAGCAGAGTGCTCCAAACACACCCCTTGCTGCCTTCTAGTAGAACTGCTTGGGTTTAGGCCCGTATTACCTGCACTGTCATAGTAGCCCAACACCCTTTATCGTTGTTTACCACAAGATGTCAGTGTGTAGACCCAGTGTGAGAATAGGAGGGTGGTTGTTTTCTGGCTCGTTTGGGTTTGGGTTTTTTTCAGCGAATGTTTTTGCTATCTGGCAGTGCCATGTGAACCCTCCCACAGTGTCCCTGAGCAGCTAATCTCTCCTGCTTTCCTTCCCAACCTCCCCTTTGCCTGTTGATTTGAGATAGCCAGGCCTGAGCCTGGCACACACTTACCCTGCTTCTCTAAATCATATCCTTGAAAAATCTAACAGCCTAAAAACTGAAAGAAATCAGTTTTATATATATATATATATATATATATATATAAATATATATATATGTTATTTATATACATATAAAGAGAGCATACACCTCCGAGACATGGTGAGAGGGAAGGAGTCCAGGAAATGGAAGGGGTGAACTGAGTTCCATCAAGTAGAGAAACCTAACAGCCTAAAAACTGAAAGAAATTGGGTTTTATATATATAATATATGTATGTTATTTATATATATATATAAAGAGAGCATACACCTCTGAGACATAGTGAGAGGGAAGGAGTCCAGGAAGTGGAAGGAGTGAACTGAGTTCCATCAAGTAGAGTGTAACCTTTGTGTTTTGGCTGCCTGCCTCTTTCTCTGGGCAGTGATTTGAAAGAATGCCTGGGTATCTTTGCTTAAATAAGGAAGTTCAGGGTACAAGAATGCTTTAATCCAGTGGCTGTGTCAGAGTGGGAAATTCTACCCACTTTGGGATATTCCATGCCCCACTTTGCTTAATGATGATTATAAAACCCTATAAAAACCCAGCTACATTCTCCCCTGCTAATTTTTATTTCTACTAAGGGATCCAGAAATTGAGAAGATCCAGATCCAGTTGTATTGTGCCCTGAGCAGTTCAAGAGCTACATGTCTTTCTGTAATCTCTACATTTGCTACCAATTCCCATGGATTTCTGGACCTGGCTTGACAGAAATTATCAGCAAACAGAGGAAAGTGTGTGGAGCTGCTGTTCACAGATAAAATTTGCTCTGATGTTTTGGAAGTGTCTTGACTGAGCTGTTGAGAACACACACTGTGTGTGCAAAGAACAGTGTCAGCTCACAGTCACTTCTTTGTAGAGATCACCAAACACTGGATATTTCCCTGTGGTTTTAGCAGGGGTGGGGGTGAATGCTGGTTGTAGTGTACAATTTGCTGCGCCTGAAACTTGTAATTTCCTTATGGGATGGCTGAGGGAGCTGTAGTGCTGCAGAAAATAACTGTAAAGAAGCTGTTGTGAGCACTGTCCTCTGGAAATGCTGATATGGAGAAACACCTCCTGATTTCTTTATATTTAAACTGCTATCCCCCCTCTTTTCTCCATTTTTCCATAGGTCCATAGGCCATGTGATTAGTAGAGAAACCGAGAACTTGCAGGTGCCTTACTACGTTGATAAAAACTTCGAGAGGAATTATCAAGGAGCAGAACTTCAAGAGCTAGAGAAAACCGTTGAAAAAGATTACATAGACTACATTCAGACCAGCTGCTGGAAGGAGAAACAGCAAAGTAAGTTCCTTTTGTTATAGGTGTGTGCCTGCGACCCCTGGGTAGTTGGGGGATGGCTGTGCTTCACCAGGCACTGCTGGGTTTAGCCTCAGTTTCCGATGCTTGTAACATCTCTGCACTGGTATTTGTCACATCTGCTATTGCTATTCTTGAGAGTCTGTCAGAACTCATTTTAGGTGATTTGGAGAGACAAGTGGAAAGTAGATCTCACCCTTTGAGATATTTTTTTCCACTCAGATTTTATGCTTCAATAACTCTTAGTGATGATGTTTTAAACATACAATCATCCACATTTATCTTGCTCTAACATTGTGAGGGCTAGAAAAGACCTTGAGACATCACCTATTCCACATTTCCTTTGCTGGAGCAGAATCGTTTTTGCTTCTGTTGGCTCCACAAGACAATTAACTTTTTCTTCAACACTTCCCTAGGTGAGAGCCCACAGCCTATTCAAGTGCCTATGGTTATCCTGCAGTGGCCTGTGTTACTGGTATCAGTTTTCAGAGAGCATGTTTTCATGCTTATTTTGTGTGCTTATTTGCATTTTCTATCTTTAGATGACTTTGAGATCATGTTTTTCTCCATAGTCAAGATTGTCTTTTAAAAACAAGAATTGAATGCTGAAAGGGGAGCACAGAATGTGAGCATTCAGAATAATTCTTGCTGCCAAAGATTCCCTTGTTTCTTTCCCTTCCATATGAAGACAGGCTGAGAAAGTTGGGGCTGTTCAGCCTGGAGAAGAGAAGGCTGCGTGGAGACCTCAGAGCAGCCTTCCAGTATCTGAAGGGGGGCTATAAGGATGCTGGGGAGGGACTTTTCATTAGGGACTGCAGTGACAGGACAAGGGGTAACGGGTTAAAAATGAAACAGGGGAAGTTTAGATTGGCTATAAGAAGTTCTTTAAGGGTGGTGAGGCACTGGAATGGGTTGCCCCGGGAAGTTGTGAATGCTCCATCCCCTGAACACCCTTGGCGGTGTTCAAGGCCAGGGTGGACAGAGCCTTGGGTGACATGGTTTAGTGTGAGGTGTCCCTGCCCATGGCAGGGGGGTTGGAACGAGATGATTTTAAGGTCCTTTCCAACCCGAACTATTCTATGATTCTATGATCCTAAGTCGATTGGGGATGTATATTTTATTTAACCTCATACTGTATTACTTGTTAACTACTACTGATCTAGTTCATTGAGCAAATCCCTGCTCCTTTTGGAACTGTACAAAACAGCACAAATCAAATACAAGGACTAGCTGAAGTTGGGATGTTGTAACTGATGAACCCATCACACTAACTAGCAATGTGCATAAAGGAAGCTGTAAGAAGCTGTTTCTGTGTAAATGTTCAGTAGTAGCAGGTGAGCTGCTTCAACACACTAGTAGGGTTTTCTAATTTGCTCCATGTAAAGCAGTTCTTGGCACACCACTAAGTCTCTTTGCACTTGTTTATAGTTTCTTCACCCATTGCATCATTATGGAAGTGTATGCTTTGTCTAAGCAAGCCTTGTTGTGCTGCAGGGAACAGTCCGTGCTTCTGACTCCAAACTATTCCCAGGTTTTTTATGGGGAGAGTTGTTTTGTTTTCGTCCAGAGACTGGTTTATTTTACATGAAAGTTACCCATCTTGACTTTCAAGAGTAGATGTAGGCTCTGAAGTTAAAAAGATCCTAATATAAGACTGTAAAAACCCCAAACAATCTCTTAGTTTTTGGTGTGCTCGACTTGTGATTTTGAGCATCTGTAGCTGGCAGTAGCAGTGCTCTAGGTATATATGGCTGTTTGTAACTGTAGGCTTTGCGTGTAGGCTTGCTATAGAGAGGGAATAGATTTCTTGCAGAAAATCCTTTTAATTTACCTTATGCAACTGAAAGTTGCCAGATTGTCTCTTTCACGTAGACCAAGCTGAGGAATGCTGTGCCCCAAAACAGGCAACAGGGTTTGCAAGTCTAAAAGAGCCTAAGTCAGAGAGGGTGGGGTGACTCAGCACTGAATGCTAAGACAGGGCTGCAAACCAGTGCTCCTCTGGAGCAATTTACACTTCGAGGCTTTATTAGTCACAGATCTGCAGATGTATTTACAGCATCCACAATTGCAGTAGCCCCAGGACACCACTATAGTTGGAAAAAGAACTAAACCATTTTCAGAGTGACTGTCATTTAGGCCAGCTAGCAGGTAACGAGCGCAGCTGAGGCTCTGCTAACTTTAGTACAGCCAAGTGTGTAAAAATAAACCCTGAGTAAACTGTGAGTACATGATGGACTGCTGGGGAGGAGTTTTCTGAGATGGTGAGACAGTTCTTAGTCAACTGTTGCTTCATAACTTGGGTCTGTTAATTCTTGTTTAAGTGTTTAACTTCACATGGGCTGCTCTCTTTTTGTCAGTTGAATGTCTATTAATAGTACATTTGTTTGTTTCTTTTACTGAAGCTGCATTTCTCTTTAGCACCAGCAGAATGAACACAGATTAGTTATACAGGAACAGTTTGATTCTTAAAGTCCTTGACTTTATGACTGGAAAAGCATGACCTAGTGTCCGGCAACCTTAATGAAAACTGCAAAAGTAACTGAAGCACCAGTGTCTTGTTCAGCTGGTCACTTCTATACTGCTGCAGTAGACTGCTCCTCCCTTCACAGCAGAATAGTGTGTAAAAGCTATGTATGCTGTGGGGTTTGGTCCTCTGAAATCCCTAATAGAGTACAAACAGCACATCCCAGGTTTTACAGATTGTTCAGCTGTGCTAGCACATTTGTAATGTAAGACTGCAAAGAGCTCCGAGCTGTAGAAAATCAGAGGCAACTGCAAACAGCAAGAATAAGGGCATGTGGCTTCCTTTAAAAAGTTCAAAGAAACAGATCTGTGTAGGAGATAGAAAAACACGAGAAACAGATGTGCCAGAGTGAATGCTGTCAGAAATGCAGCCATTTGCAGTGAATAACTCTGCCCAATAAGGTCCCTGGAGTTCACTGCAGAGCTCCAGGGACGCTGCATTAGGAGACAATTACCCGAGTCTGGCTTTACTGAAGGCTTGTCAAGGTTATGTGCCCAGCAGTACTTGAATGGCATTTTGAGTTATATAACCTGAAAATTGATTCCCGATCTACAATGAAATGGTTGTGCCTGTCAGTTTGTAAAGCTTCTCGATAAATAGGTGGAGGCTTAAATGGCTTTAAATTTCGGTGGGACAGGGACAGAGGACTTAAGGAGTGAAAGGACCTATTGAATAATTTTGTTAAATGAGGGACTTGAAGGTGTATAAAAGCTCTGAAAAGTTGAGTGTCATCAGGTACCCAGTGCTTAGGGAAATTCTGACCTTTTCAGCAACAAATTACTGCAGTTCTCTTAGGTGTGTCTAGTGCTGGATCTAAAGGATTCTTCAGGGAGAAAGCTATATTAGGATTTCCTTAGCTAATCAGCAAAAGAAATTCTCTGAATTGTTGAGGGGGGGAAATAACTGAAACAAGGAGACTATTGCAGCTTCATGTTACTTTTGAGAAGAAGAAAAAGAAATGTGCAAAGTACCTTTGAGATTGTGTTGTTAATGAAAGGGCACACTGGCCTTTCCTGGTCATTCCTGTGGAATGACCCTCCTCTGCATCCCTAAGAATTAGTGTGGGATGAGAGCTGATTCCAAAGTAAGTGACAGTATTGCCTAAGACAGGTGCTGTGTAGCCCCTTTTATGCCATTAGTTTAACAATATACAGATATCTTAAAGCAATCACCTATGCTTTAGATCATTAACATGATTTAAAATCTTAACTGACTTCCAAGCTATACTTTTATAGTGTGTGTTTTCTTCATAGATTAACAATCAGTCTTGGGTTTTGTTTGGTTATTGTCCTGCTAGTGCACTGTTTAGAGAGGATTGGGTTTGCAAACACTTAGGAAAATACTCTTGTCTTCATTAAGTAGCTTGGTTAAACTCCATGGTGTCTCTTTAGAGCATGTTAACATGCCCAGTCTCACTGAAACAAAGTGAATTAAAAAGACCCCCCACGAGCCACAGGGATAACAAAGCACAGAGAAGCAGTTACTGAAAGCAGGCTCATCCTGATATGTATCTTCTTTTTCATCTTTCAGAGTCTGATTTGTCAAATTTGGCCAAGCTGTACAGAGACGAGCGGTTAAAGCAGAAAGCAGAATCCCTGAAACTTGAGCACTGTGAGAAGCTCTCCAGTCTGATTGGAATGCACAAAGGGGGCTGACCAGGACGCACACGTTCTGTAGTTTTAATTTATTGCTGTTTTAACTTATGGTTTTATTTTCCTTTGTATAAAAAGGGAAGGAGTCTATTGTAAAAAGTGTGGATATTTGAGTCCTTCTGCATAGAGTGCAGAGAGGGGCCAACACAAGCTGCGGAGCTGGTGTTTGCTGTAATATATACTGTACACTATATTGGTTCCAAGGACCAGTGGCACTTTGTAAATGAATCCCCTGGGAAACGCTATTATTAGTTTGGAGCCCTTCCTCGTCAGTAGTTTGTCTGCCATCCAGACAGTGTGTGCTTCCCAGGAGGGCAGACAAATGTCTTTGCTTTCTGTGTTTGACATGGACCTGCAGCTCACTGATCACAGGAACAGCGTGCTCTCACAGACCAACGCATGGCCCTGCTGCTGCAGTGGGCTCTCATGAGAATGTAGATGGAAGGCGGCGTGTTCCCTGTTGGGTTTCCTGTTCAGTGTGATGTGCAGTGCTTCCTTCACAAGAGACAGGAACCTGCTTCAGGTGAGCACCCGAGCACACTCCCTGCTCCTGGAGGGACTTCACACCGGGCTTGTTGGACTGGAGGGCTGTGCCTGTGCTGCTACGTGGTGAGACGGCACCAAGATCCCAACAGCAACATCAAACCAGAAGATGAATTGCACCAATTCCAGCAGCTGTCGAGCTGCAGAGAAAGGACAGCCCTATTTATTTTCTCAGATGTTTCCAGTGGCATATTTTCAGGCTGGCTGTTTAATTCTCATTTTTACCTGCAAACTCTTCTCCAGCTGTTACAGGGGTCCTGCTTTTTCTGGTACAGGTTTGATGTAGCATATTTTTACTCTGTTGAGCAGTTATGAATGTTTCACTGTAGATATTAGTATTGCAAAGAAAAAAGATCCATGTAGCAGTGTCCTGTTTTTTTCTTGATCCTTTGTTACAAAACCAGGCATTTGAAGGCAGGCTGAGGGTGGGTTGTACCTGTAAGAACAGAGGTCAGTGTTACTCCAGTTGAGCATCACCTGAGTCAGTTTCTCTGGTGGGTTGCCATGAGTGCATGCCACCCATGGACTGAGCTGTTCTCACAAAGGATGTCTCCGAGCAGGACAGCAGAGGTGGTGCTCACCTCCCTGATGTGCAAGTATACGTCTGTTAGGACTGAGCACATCTCTCTTGTTGCCCCTGTGCCTAAAGTGACTCCTTACGACAGCGTTTTTGTGTTAACATTTGCTTCCTGTTGGAATACTTGGGGAAGTTGAGCAGAGTTTGTCAGCCACTCGGGACAGGGAGAGGCTGGTAAAACAGCATTTGGAGGGGGTGGTTGTGAAACAGCTTTGGTGTGAGAGTCTTTACAGGCAAAAATCCTTGATTACTCTAGATTAGGAATGTGGCTGGCAGCAGGACGGGCAGCCTCGGTTCTCGTGTTTCCCAGTGGGGAGCTGTGGTGGTTTAAACCCAGTCAGGCAGCTCGTTCACTCACTTCCCCTCTTCTTGCCCTCCCCCTACTCCTGGAGGGAAGGAGAGGAGAATCGAAAAGAATGCAACTCCCACGGGTTGAGATAAGAACAGTTTAGTAACTAAGGTATAACACAGATCACTACTGCTACCATCAGTAATAATAATGATAAGGGAAATAACAAGGGAAGAGAATACAACACCTCAGCACCAGCTGACCCATAACTCACCCCCCCAGCCCGACCAAGCACTGACCGATACCTCCTCCAACCCCAGGGTCCCTAGCCCTTCTGGCTAACTCCCAGTTACATCCTGGGCATGACGTGCTGTGGTACGGAATACCTCTTTGGTAAGTTTAGTTCAGGTGTCCTGTCTCTGCTTCCTCTCTTCCCCTGCTCCCTGGCAGAGCATGAGGCTCACAAAGTCCTTGGCCAAACCAAAACATCACTGTTATCAGCTCTGTTACCAGGCCGAAAGTCAAAACACAGCACTGCGCCAGCTACCAAGGAGAAAAATGACTGCTACTGCTGAACCCAGGACAGGAGCACATAACATGAGTGTGTCCAAAAAGACAATGTTGCTTTTTATACAGTACATAGTTTGTAGAATGTATTTGAAATGCATTGGGCTTTGTTCCAGGTTTGTTATCTTCCCTGTTTGGCTCCCACAGGTATAAAGGGATACAGGTGGGGAGAGCAATTCATCCATAGTACTTTGCACATAAAATCGACTGCACCTTTCATCTAAAGGTATCGAAGGATGTGGGAGAAGCACAATTTTAGGCATCTTCTCTGCAAGTAGGGAAGAGGCCAGGCTGGAGGGGAGATATCATGAGATACAGATTGCTTTTTGAAACACATGACACTGGAAGGTCTCATATAAAAAGCAGTCGGGTGCTCTGCGCGATCATAGCCAGGGTGTTAACGGTTTTGCATGATGGTGGTGTGCACTGTGAGTGAGGGCACTGGGCTCTGAAATGGCTTTAGTGATACATGCAGTAGAACTTGAAATCAGAATGGGTTGGGTTGGAAGGGGCCTTAAAGCTCATCCAGACATGGGCAGGGGGTTGGAACTGGATGAGCTTTTAAGGCCCCTTCCAACCCAACCCAGGCTGGGATTCTATGATCCTAAGGGGAAAAAGGGACATTGTTACAAGGTGTCCAAGGCTGTTCCGTGCTTTTGTGGTTTACCAAAGGTTACCTGCCCAGTGGCCATGGCCTGCTAATTACTTCTGAGGTCTCTAAAGGGACAAAGATTGCTCCTCCAGGACACGCCTGTATGCCTGGATCCAGCCCCAGCACTGCGGGACACACCGTGTCCATATCCATGTCTGTGGTCATGGCCATGTCTGTGTCAGTGGGTGCTGGCGCATGGGGGGGCATACTCCCTCTTCTTGGGGATACCAAGAACTTGCAGATGGGTTTGGATATATATGTAATGATTAAAGGAGAGCCATGAACCTGCCCTGATTGCCTGCAAGGTGAATCCCCACCTCACACAATGAACCCCCACCTCACACAATGGTGAACCCCCACCTCACACAATGAACCCCCACCTCACACAATGACCCCCTACCTCACACAATGGTGAACCCCTACCTCACACAGTGGTGAACCCCCACCTCACACAGTGGTGAACCCCCACCTCACACAATGAACCCCCACCTCACACAATGAACCCCCACCTCACACAGTGGTGAACCCCCACCTCACACAATGAACCCCTACCTCACACAGTGGTGAACCCCTACCTCACACAATGAACCCCCACCTCACACAATGGTGAACCCCCACCTCACACAATGGTGAACCCCCACCTCACACAGTGGTGAACCCCTACCTCACACAATGAACCCCCACCTCACACAATGGTGAACCCCCACCTCACACAGTGGTGAACCCCTACCTCACACAATGAACCCCCACCTCACACAGTGGTGAACCCCCACCTCACACAATGAACCCCTACCTCACACAATGGTGAACCCCCACCTCACACAGTGGTGAACCCCCACCTCCCACAATGGTGAACCCCTACCTCACACAATGGTGAACCCCCACCTCACACAGTGGTGAACCCCCACCTCACACAATGAACCCCTACCTCACACAATGAACCCCTACCTCACACAGTGGTGAACCCCCACCTCACACAATGAACCCCCACCTCACACAATGGTGAACCCCCACCTCACACAATGAACCCCTACCTCACACAATGAACCCCCACCTCACACAGTGGTGAACCCCCACCTCACACAATGGTGAACCCCCACCTCACACAATGAACCCCTACCTCACACAATGAACCCCTACCTCACACAGTGGTGAACCCCCACCTCACACAATGAACCCCCACCTCACACAGTGGTGAACCCCCACCTCACACAATGAACCCCCACCTCACACAGTGGTGAACCCCCACCTCACACAATGAACCCCTACCTCACACAGTGGTGAACCCCCACCTCACACAGTGGTGAACCCCCACCTCACACAATGAACCCCTACCTCACACAATGAACCCCTACCTCACACAATGAACCCCCACCTCACACAATGGTGAACCCCCACCTCACACAATGAACCCCCACCTCACACAGTGGTGAACCCCCACCTCACACAATGAACCCCTACCTCACACAATGAACCCCTACCTCACACAATGAACCCCCACCTCACACAATGAACCCCTACCTCACACAATGGTGAACCCCTACCTCACACAATGGTGAACCCCCACCTCACACAATGAACCCCCACCTCACACAGTGGTGAACCCCCACCTCACACAGTGGTGAACCCCCACCTCACACAATGAACCCCTACCTCACACAATGAACCCCTACCTCACACAATGGTGAACCCCCACCTCACACAGTGGTGAACCCCCACCTCACACAGTGGTGAACCCCCACCTCACACAATGAACCCCTACCTCACACAATGAACCCCTACCTCACACAATGAACCCCCACCTCACACAGTGGTGAACCCCCACCTCACACAGTGAACCCCTACCTCACACAATGAACCCCTACCTCACACAGTGGTGAACCCCCACCTCACACAATGAACCCCCACCTCACACAATGAACCCCCACCTCACACAGTGGTGAACCCCCACCTCACACAGTGGTGAACCCCCACCTCACACAATGAACCCCTACCTCACACAGTGGTGAACCCCCACCTCACACAGTGGTGAACCCCCACCTCACACAATGAACCCCTACCTCACACAATGAACCCCTACCTCACACAATGAACCCCCACCTCACACAATGGTGAACCCCCACCTCACACAATGAACCCCCACCTCACACAGTGGTGAACCCCCACCTCACACAATGAACCCCTACCTCACACAATGAACCCCTACCTCACACAATGAACCCCCACCTCACACAATGAACCCCTACCTCACACAATGGTGAACCCCTACCTCACACAATGGTGAACCCCCACCTCACACAATGAACCCCCACCTCACACAGTGGTGAACCCCCACCTCACACAGTGGTGAACCCCCACCTCACACAATGAACCCCTACCTCACACAATGAACCCCTACCTCACACAATGGTGAACCCCCACCTCACACAGTGGTGAACCCCCACCTCACACAGTGGTGAACCCCCACCTCACACAATGAACCCCTACCTCACACAATGAACCCCTACCTCACACAATGAACCCCCACCTCACACAGTGGTGAACCCCCACCTCACACAGTGAACCCCTACCTCACACAATGAACCCCTACCTCACACAGTGGTGAACCCCCACCTCACACAATGAACCCCCACCTCACACAACGGTGAACTCCCACCTCACACAATGGATAACCCTGCCTCCCACAATGTGTACCTCTGCTCGCACAATAGTAGCCTTTGGCTGCCTGTGCCATGCAAAATGGAGGCACAGCACCATGGCGGGAGCGGCAGGGAGCCAGCGGGAGGGCCGCGGGTCTCCACGGCTCGGTGGAAGCTGAGCCCGGGGCTGGGACGGGGCCGCTCTCAGGTGGAAGCCGTGGCGCGGGCCCTTTAAGACCGGAGAGGGGGGACGCGGCCGAGAGCCTCTGCGTTGCTAGGAGACGGGAAAGTCTCGGCGGCGGGAGCCGCCATTTGTGTCGGCAGTGCCGGAGATGGCGACGGGCGGTGAGGCCGTGGGGAGCCGGAGCCGGGAGCGGGGCCGGGGCTGGGGCTGGGGCTGTGACCGCGGCGGGCATCTCCCGTCCTCAGAGGGGCCGGGAGGGAGATGGGGGGGGCTCGATGCGGGCGCGGGCTGTGAGCAGTGCTGTGGGGCGGGACCAGCGCGGGGCCCGCCCCCTGTCCCGGTCCGCGGGGTGCGCTCGTGTCCCCGCTGCGGGGAGCGGGCCCGGGCCGGGGCTGCCCATGGGCACGGCGGGGCTGCCGCGCTCCGGGCCCCGCTGTGGGGCGGCCGCTTCGCT